AATTAACATATTCGGAAAATCAGGTTGGTCATTCGGAAAATTACGGCAGGAATAGTATAACAAAATTTTAGTTGTTTAATTAAACAGAGAAAATATTATAAAATTGTATTGTCAGTATCATAAACTGATTTACAAAATCACGGCATTTACATGGATAACATTTAACAAATCGTAGATCGGTAAATGTTTTTCGGTTTATTACTTCCCAGGGCCGTAGCACCGGGGGGGGGGGAGGGGGCAGCCCTCAATATATCTTTAAAATACTGACATTTGATTAATTTTAAGCGGCTACATTATCCATGACAAACCGTAAAGAATTAAGAATCATATTACCCATATACGCCTTCGCTCATTTAGTTCTTCTAAATTGTAAGCAAATTAATTGTAAATTTCGACGTGCTAAAACTCTGTTTTCTGACCATCAGAATTCTGTCAAAACTTCCCCCAAAGTCCACGAAATGGCATTTCAGAGACTCTAAATTTAAAAATTTCCTCGGGCCTTCGGCCCTCGCCACCCCCTTATCAAAAAGAACTTCCTACAGAACTGCACGCTTCTGTAATATGTCTGTGCGTAAAATATGAGTATTTTTGTTTGTAAATTGCGTTTTCATTTTCCGGATAGCAAACACCTTCGTGGCTTCGTATGCCATGAAATATTCGGAATTTTTTTTCGTCATTCGGAAATTTTTGGCCTACACCCTCCCAACTATGCATGCTTAGCTGCGGCCCTGTTTGTTTGGTTATGTGAATGTTGATGTCAGTAACTGTGTCTCGTTTGTGAGTCACGGTCGAACTCGGCTGAGTAACACCTCAAAATACATTCTACAAAGTCAAATTTGTAGAACAAGCACTTTTCAATCTTCGTACTATAATCGTGTTGTCAAACTGTGGAACATTGTATGTAAAGATGTATGTTTGGACACTGTGTCTAGTCCTAGTTCTTTTAAATGTTTAGTTAAACGTAGATACTCTAGTATTGTTGATTCTATTTATGATGTTGACTTGTCATGTACGTGGTCCTTGTTTCGTGACTGTTCGTGTCATAGGACGTAGGTGTGTGTAGAGTTGTGTGTGTAATGTTATATAAATTATATAAATTAGTTTTAGTAACGTTTGGGAAGGTATCTTGCATGGTTATTTGAGTCCAGTTTATACCTTGCCCATTTAGGGTCAATATTCTGTTAATAGTTTGATTCTAATAAAGATGATGATAATAATAATCACATTATCACGTGGTACAAATGCTGTTTTTTCATTGGACAATTTGAATTTGAGGTATAATATTAGCGAATATTACATATACATGCATATACATGCATATACATGCACATACATGCATATACATATATTATTCAGCTCACTCCCCAATGGGGCTTTTCGGTGACCGATTACATAAGTATTACGTTTACTTGTATTATCTATTTAGCCTAGACTAATTATTTTTACAACGATTGTGATATTATTTTCCTAACTATGTTTTATTCTAACCCACCCTGTCAACTTTCCTTGTGGGAGGAAACGTCCGGAGAAAACCCATGACTTTCAGCAGAGCATTGACTGACTCGTTTCACATTGGCCCATAGCGAGAATCGAACCCACGTTCTCAGAGGTGAAAGGCGCTTAAGCCTGTTTTCCACTTCAACCGTATCGTAAATACCGTAGCATTTTCTTTTGTGTCGAAGTCATTAGTTCCACACTACCGCTCATGAGGAAACAAAGAAATACGCTACGTTTCAGTACGATACGTTTCAACCTCGCCAAATTCAAACATACACACGTGACACTACGAACACCACAACATTTACAGCGATATTAATTACGAACGGCGGGAGTGGACACCACAACAATATAAAGCAATTGAGCGAGAATGAGAGTTGATGAGAGTTGAGAAGCGAGAGTTTGCATGAGAGTTTTCTCAACTGTCGTGCTCTGGTCAAACGAGAACAAGAGTTGCATGAGAGTTGGTGAGAGTTGACTGGATATTACCGCGCGATAACGAAAACTCTTATCAACTCTCATTAGAATTTGAACCAGTTCAAAGTACAATCAATGAGAAGTCAAAGTTGATGAGAGTTGACGCTCAAATGCGAGCGAGAATTGCAACTCTCGTCAACCCTCGTCCTTGTTTGACCCCTTATAACAGTAAAGAAATTTCGAAAGGAATTAAGAGGCAATTTTTTCAATGTCACGTATTTGCAATGAAAAGTGTTCAAAACCTAAAATCTTTTTGGCGTTCCTCTCAAAATGACTTTGTTTTAGCCTTATTCTTTAGTTTATAGAGTTAGCAACCTTTTTAAATGTATCTGCCGCTTGAGAAACATAAAAAAATAGTTAAAAATTGCAATTAAAAAACAATTATCATCGATGATTTAAAATTAACGCCATATTTACAGCTATATATAAGCAAAACTTACTGAACTTCAGACATCATTCTCTCTTTGGCGTGTCATCTTAAATCTCGTCATTTTAGCATTATTTTACAGATAAAGCACTAAATATACTTTTTAAGTTTGGTTGCCAATTGAGAAACGTATTGAAAAATAGAAATTTTGAATTTAGGCATTAGTTTTGAGCGCTTGTTACGTGACATACAAAAAAATCTCCTCTTAATAGTTTAAAGATTCTTCCTTTTCGTTCAAGACAGGGAAAAGAGAATTATTTTAGCTAGCGAGAAACTTTATTTAACTGGAGACTTATTATTATTCACAATATGCTTTATATGTTTCTAGGGTAGAATAGGTTTTCAAGGCAGTGCTGGCAATCGAGGCGCTTTTGGTGGAAGGGTGAGTTATTGCATTCAGATGAAGAGAAAAGTTTTCCACCTTTTAATATCTTTTGTGCGCTTGTGTGCATGAAGAAATAAAGAAAAACGCTCGTTAATAGATAGATCAGGGTTCAGGAATTATTTTATCCCTCCCGCGCGGCCACGCGTGACCGAGCAATCGCTGATGATAGTTGATGGGCAATCGTTTTGGGTAATTTCTAAGTAGCATGAGTCATTGTGAAAACGACGTGCACTAAACAAGTGTAAACATGTGTGCTTGATAAATATATTTTAAAAATACAATCCCACATGTGAAGTGTCTTGAATCGCGAGCCAGCAACAAGCGTGACTTAAATCGCACCAAGTTACGCGATAGCTCTCGATCAATGGACAACTTGCATGTCAGACTAAATTTTAATCTAAGTAAAGAGAATGGAATCAAACACAACAGTTAAAAAGAAAAAAATTGCAAAATTTGGTTGCGAAATGTTGTAAAATACAGAAAATATAGCCTTGCGAAGTTTGCATATTTTCAGTATATTTGTATTACGTGCGGAAATTGTTACCATTTTCTGCTCAAAAATGGTAACAATTCCGCACGTATAATACAAACATACTGAAAATACAAACTTCGCAAGGCTATATTTTCTGTATTTTACAACATTTCGCAACCAAATTTGCAATTTTACTAATTTTAATAAGTTCTTTACGGGAATTTACTTTTTTTTGCCTAAATAAAAAATTAGTCTAACATGCAAGTTGTCTATTAGAAATGAGAAAATAAAGTCAGATTATTATGTTATCTAGGGGACCCAGGGTATGAGAGGAGATCCAGGTGAAAAAGGTGATGTAGGTCGCCCAGGTCCAGCTGGTCCTGGTGGCTTTGTCACTACTGATGTAAGTACAAATTTTTATTGCATGCATCTAAGGTGAACATTCATAGATGAAATTATTGTTTATTCTCATGTGTTTGTCAAGAGCTTTTGGTAGCTATGTAAATTATCATTATTAATTTCTTTAGAATTTGATTGTTTTCACGGTCTATGTTAGAGACCTTACGATTTTAGGACGGCAACGCGACGGCAACGGCTATCAATACAATAGATCATTGAAAAGAATTGAGTAATTACAATAAATGAATAATTTAGACATTGTCCTCGCTCTGTTTACAACGCCAAATCACATATTTTCACGTGTTGATACGACGGCTGCATTCTAAGCCACAACAAGTGCAACTTCAAACTGGGTTTAGCAGAACTCTTCCCAACCATAAAACCCATGTCTTCAACTTCTAAGACTGAATTAAATTCATACGATTGATAATATACGACGAACTATCGACTACCATTTATTTTAAGGAGTTTGTTTTGGCCGTCGCGGTTGCCGTCCTAAAATCGTAAGGTCTCTAACGTTGTCGGGCTGGCTTCGCCACTGTTTTAATACATGCATGCCACTGTATTGTAAATAGTCATATTTATAATTATGTAGAATTATTTCTTAAAATTTCAGTTATCATATCTTGTATTTTAGCCTGATGAACGCGGTAAAGGTCCCGGGCCAAATCAATATCGCTACCTTCCAGGTCCACCTGGTCCACAGGTAAGTATAGTGCATATTAACTAAGATTATTATATGGCTTTTCAAAATTCTCTATTCTGATTGGTTGACAAGCGGTCCGTAAAAACCCATATCCGGACCGTGGTCCGTATTTTCCGTATCTGGACCGGTGTCCCGAATGTCGTTTGGTTTTCTTAGATGTTTCACCCTTGCAAACTTGTGTGTCATTAAAATTTACAGATAAAAATTTCAAACAACCAAAGTGTTTTTGATTGAGCATGCATGCCTACCGTATACTGTTACCCAGTGAAACTGACGATAGCCGATTTAGTTTGCGCGAAAAGCATATGCTCATAGACTCAGTTCAGCCATATAATAAACCTATTATTGACCTCGCTTGTTCAGTCTGTACTGTGAAATATCAGACCTCTGTTTTTTGCATGGACCTCGCCCCTTCGTCGCTCTACTGAAAAACCTCGGTCTGATATTTCACAGTACAGACATCACGTTCGGTCAATAAGCCTTTAATATTAACTGAGAATGAATTGTGCTGTACGGGAAAGTATCAAACTGTCGAGGTCTTGCTTCATTTTATATTCATGTTTAAAACCAACTAAAGTACAGTCGAACCTCTTTTATTATTTAAGCAACCTTCTATTCAACGGTCAGTTATTAGTCTCCAAAATATCACCAATACGATTACTATAAAATCACACTCCATTAAGCGGACGCGGTCACCTTCGAGTAGTCCCAATAATTGGTTGTTTTTCTATTTGATCTCTATATTAAATGGCCACGTACATTCATCTTAACCACAATTTCTAGCGCATGCATGAACTAACACTAAACTTAAACGAATACTGAGATCAGATTGTTTCACCTCATGCCTATATGATATTCTTTATTAGCTTTTTATATTGCGTCAAATCCCTTTTTCTACCTTCGACTTCTACCAATCCATTGAAAATGCGTATGTCTTTTAATAAAATGAAATTTTGGTGTACTTCAACTAAGCGGCTACCTCTATTATAAGCCCCGAGGGTGGCCATTTAATAGAGGTTCGACTGTACCATGAAATTATCGAAAGTAATCTAAAAATCGTTGCTCTTTAAATTCCTCCTGGCAGCTCTTCGGATGTTAAACACAAAAAATTCTGGACTGCATGCTTTAAAAATATTGTAAAATTTACCCAATTTTTTCGACTTGCATTGAATGATTACCATATTTAGCTGTTCGTTATTAACCAATCAGAGCGCACGTAGTGACTGCAATGTAGAATAAATAACTACTTTATCCACTTTATCTATTTGGAAAATATTTACATTAAATCAAATGGCAAATGAATAATTTATTATAAATATTAATGAAAAGTTCTGATCTGATTGGCGTGGAGCAGTACAATTTTATTAACAAACAGTACCGAAATGCAGTTCGGCTCAAATTGTTGTAATGTATAAAAGTTTCTGCGAATATCATTTTCAAAGAAAATTATTCTTATAAAATGTATGTTACTTTTTGTGTTTGTTGGGGTTGTGTACTCAGGTGAATATGATGTTTGTGGTGTTACTCAGAGTGGGCATTCACACCAGTAAGCTGAAACGTTTGCCTGACCACGGTGGGAATCGAACCCGCGACCTTTGGGATAATAATAATAATAATATGTATTTATTTAATCACGATAAGTTAGTTACAGGTAGTGCTGATGTAGTCGTGAAAATAACAAAAATTCTAGCTAAACTAACTATAAAAACCTATATTTATATTACGGTTATGAAATATTATTATTTTATAACTAGCCCAATGCTCTACCAACTGAGCTACGAGGTCAAGTCGGTTCGAGTTGGTGATATTTTGGAACTGAGTCTAGTTTCTTCGAATGCTTCGATATCAATGATATTCTAAGATATGATACTTTTTGTATTTGTTTGTGTTGTGTATTCAGGTATTACCCTGTTATTATTGTCATTACATGTACTCGGGAGTTTTCAAAAACGTCAGATTGAACTTGTCTTTTGGACTTGTGCAATGTTAGTTTTCTATGAAAAACTCTGACATGCATTCTCTTTCTCAAAATGAGACAATCTTTTCTCGTGTTTCTTAGGGCCCACCTGGTCCCCCAGGACAACCTGGCCCACCTGGACGAGAGGTACAGTACTTTTTATCCACTATTAGCAATGTATAGAAAATAAATCCTTCCGGAAACATCACCTTGCATGGCTATATAATAAAGCTTTCTTTTCGTGATTGAGACTAAACCATTCAACTGTGATCTTCTAAGTGGTTAATCGTAGTTTTTAAAAGTCTATTAGAACGATGTGATTTCTTCAAATATATCATCAAGCTCTCAAAAGCAAAGATTTTAAACACGGATTCCCCGGCGGAAATCAAAATTTGAATTTGATAAGTCGCTGGTTAATTTCTCTCACTTCAATTTAAATACAATCCCAATCTCTAATCATAACCTTTTTGAAATTTTCTGTAACACTTATCCCAAACAATTATCTAAACTTCATCGTAAACCTAATTCTCACCTAGTCCAATGTAGACCTCTTGCACTTATTGATCCGTGGCAAAAATTTACTCATAATGAATGAAACAGTTCCTACTACTGATACCCTAATCCTCCTGATGCCATTCCGGGATAGTAACATGGAAAGTAAACACGAATTTCCTTTCTCGTTGACTTTAACCATCTACAGTCTTCTTCACAGCCTGTCTGTCTATGAAGTAAAGTTTTTAAATATTGTCTAAAAGGTCTCGGTCATAGTCATGAGTTGAATGAGTTACGAGTTAAATAAAATACGATCATATGATGAGGTGCAATGTTTTATTTTGTATTTCTTATTTTGGCAGGAAAGAATATCGGTCTCGTGCTATTTGCTATTTGCTAGAGGCTATTTGCTAATTGTTTTTTCTTTCGTGTTTTAAAAATCAACTTCTACCATTTAATTCTTGGCGGCCATCTTTATGAAAGAAAGTCCGTTGCAATGGATTAGATTTCTATTTTTTTTATTTATTATTTAGGGAGAAAGAGGCGACTCTGGTGCGCCTGGACAACCTGGTACCGCTGGAGAATATGTATGTTAGCACTCGGTCAATATTTAAACATTATAATCCAGTTGCTTTTAGAACAAAGATTGTTACTAGGAAGTATTATATATATCGGTTATCCTTCTGAAGGTCATTAGTCTGACGATTCATTCGTTGGTGGATAGTAATAAATTTTCCTTTATCAAATAGAAATTAGTATTATTGGATTGATGTTGGCTCAAATGGCTTGGTCATTTATAAAACTATTCATTTCATCCTTCAGTATTAAATTTTGTGGTTAACTGAATGGTTTAAGTACTTTTTAAAACACGAGTAGGAGTTTTATGTCTGATAATACACGACAACGAGTATTTTGAATAGCTTAAAATACGACTACAAAAGAATACTAATTAGGATGAACCATTATATAATCATACTAATTAGGATGAACAATTATATAATGCCTCATGCTTAAAAATGATGTTTTATCAGATATAAAGTTACTCCACGTGACATATTATGGCCGACATGATTTGCCACAAGGTTTATGAATTATTAATGAGTATTTTAACGTTAATACCTCACTCCCTAAGAATAAGATACCAGTATTTTTGTAGCCAAAAATATTGTTATTACTTTTAGGACGCAATGTGAGAGCTATGGTGCCTCGGGCTCCAGTTATACGATACCAGAATACTTTTCGTATGGGATTGCCTGGATTGGATGTTTCAATCCGATACAAAATTCGTCCTGTTTATTCGACCTGTTACACGGCGCCCGGAGCATAACGGATTAATTTTCATATCACTTCCAAAGTGGAGTGGTACACACCGGATTGCCAGGGGCATAGGAACAGGGGGGGGGGGGGCACAGTCAGCATTTCTGAACTTGACTACCGTCTGGCATCATGTAACCCTTGTTCATACCTACCAATATGAATATGGATAATTTGGATATAAAAAATCTTCAGGACCTAAAAGTAAAGTTTAATTTTATTTTAGGGACAACCAGGTTTAAAAGGAGTCAAAGGTCGTGATGGAACATCTGGAGATAGAGTATGTATCTGTTAGTAAAAATAGTTGAGTTTTTAGGCCAGGTTATTGGAGATTTTGCAGAGAGCATGTTGTCGCACATGAAAGGACGCCGGAACTCCGGTAAATATATATCAACCTAGATGTACATATTTTGTGATTGGCTTTAAAATTCTGTAATTTAATAATAATTAGTTGTATATTGTAATAACAGCAACCCTAAATCTTACTCTAAACCTAACACTAACACTAAAGTAAACTGTGAGTTTTAATTTAGAATTGTCTTAGAAATTCCCAATTGTCCATCCTTTTTAGTCATTACCATTATTGAATAAAGACCTTTAATGATTTATATATAATTTTAAATTCATTATATTAACAACAAGCCTAAAATCTACTTTACCCTAAAGCTAACTCCAAATTTAATGTGATACTATCTTGTAAACTCCTCCGGTCAATCTGTTTTATAGTTTTAGTTATTACCTTCATTGAAAAAAGATCTCTAGAATATAACATTCAACAACCCCAACCTTAACATCAAAGTGACTAGAGTTTAAATTTGGGACTAACTTGACTTCCAGTTGTCTATTTCTTTTTGCCATTACAGGTGTCACCTGTATTGAATAAAAAAGCTCATTAATAAAGTTCTTGAATAAAAACCTTTAATAATTATATAATTTATTGTATTAATAAGCATTTATAATCTAGGGTACTGATGGAGACCCAGGTTCTGAGGGTGAATCTGGTGTTCAAGGACCTCAGGTATGATGTATTTATGATTTAAAGAAAATAGTTAACTGTATTTTTGGTGTGTACAATGATTACAATCAACATGTCAAGATGAACTAATTAATGAACATGCGTTTGACTGGGTAGTTGAAACGCGCTGTAGATTCGTTTTGACCGTGGGCCGTCTTGCCGTGTTTTCTTTGCTCAAGTTTATCCAGACAGATCCCTAGGATATGTCATGTCATACAATTTATACAGTATATTTGCCATTTAATTTAATGCTGCACCAGGCATGTATCTTTACAACTGCTCAGGGGCGCCGGAAACAATGTGAAACGGCAGGAGAGCTTTTTGAAAAGGGAATTTATTTGCTTGAAGTCCTAATTGTTGTGGGCAGCAATGTTCGTTAAAATTTCGCTGTACGCGGATACTCAATTACTTGTAGCCAATATAGCTGGACAAATTTCGGCATTGATTGGAACAATTTTATTCGTTGTATCACTTACTTGCATGATACTAAAGATTAAAATGCTTGGTCAACTATTTAGGAAGGCTTTCTTTTTGACGTTTTTGCATAGAGTTGGAAACCATGGTAATGTTTCTGAGAGACTTTTCAGATTCAAATTTGAGCTAAACTGCTTAAAAACAGTTCTCAATTTCAATTCATGTGAAGAACGAAGTGTAGTTCTTGTAAAAAAAGCAACCTGCTGCCCCCGCACTGTTTGGGCAACGGGGATAGCTGCCCCCGTGGTTCCGGCGCCCCTGAAACTGTTCTCTGTGTATATTTTAGGGACCTCCTGGAACCCGTGGTAGACAAGGCTCACAGGGATCAAAGGGAGAACGCGTAAGTTATACTGCATATTTTTTACGAATAATTAAACAGTATTTTTTAGTTTATTTCACAAACGCGTGTTTAGTAGTGATACACTGAAAAGTTACCAAAGAAAAGTAATGAATAAAAATTATAATTACTTCTCCGAAAATGTAATTATTACAAATTGCTTTCCTTCAAAAAAATTACGAATTACGAATTACTTGTTAAAAAGTAATTGATTACTAATTATTTGTTAGATTACTTAGGCTCTAATAAGACTGAACTGCTGCAAATCATAATGCCTCTAAGCAACTTACAAAACAAATCGTATAATTTAACTGCGTTGAATTTGTTACTTAATTTGAGTACGACAATTTCAGTGTAGTCGCACAGACAGACATTCATCTTGAATGCCATTCCCTTCTGAAATTTCCAGATATGGTAAGGTTGAAAAAAATTAAAAAGCACACGCAAAATTACGCAAATTACTTTGTTCGAAATATTACTCGTTACCTTTTACTCTTTCTAAAAGTTATTAATTACGTTACAAGTAATTAATTACTGAAGTAATTAGTAACGCGTTACTTAAATTTATAACACTAGGTAATAGTTTCAGCACATATAGAATGGAGGAGGCGTGTAGGCGAGTTTGAAGGAAGTTGGTTACTTCTATACACTGTTATATCGATTTATAAGTTATACATTTCCGCAGCATGTGAGGGATGGCACTGTTTGTTTGTACTAAAAGTTACTGTACTTTCATATCTAGGGCCAAACTGGCCTGGCTGGTGATCGAGGAGAAGCTGGCTTACCTGGTGATGCTGTAAGTGTTGTACTTCTTGTACTACCACAGGGGAGCACGGGAGCGCTTTGAAAAAACACTTTGCTTAGCAATCTTCATTACACTTTTTGCTCATTCCCCGTAATTCCCCACCCCATTATTACACAAACTTTTCATTCCTTCCTCTTTTTCGAGATGGTTTGTCCACTCTTCAAAGAAGAATAAACCCAGGGTTGAGCCTGCTACTGCATGAAAGGTGAATGTGAGGTATTGTTACTTGATGGGTATAGCTGCTCTGGCTTGGTGTGTTTGAAAACACGTATAAGTAGAGTTGTGGTTGGTTGCATATATAGCTGTTCTTCGTGGTACTGTATGAGTCTCATGATGGCAGCTAGAGCGCTTTAGAGGAGCCTTCGGTCTTGTTTGAGCCGGCTCATTCATACTTCGACTTTCAACTGCAAGTAATAACGAGTACTCTTACTTGATATTTATCTTTACAACCATTATAGTAGCTTGAAAATTGATTAATTGACGATATCGTTATATATACAGGTCTTTGTTTGCCAAAGTTTAATAAACTTTCTTGTCTTTTAGGGTGAGCCTGGTGATAATGGCAACGACGGAAAAGATGGAATCCCCGTGAGTTCATTCTTTCTAAATAAATGTTTTACAAGTACTTGTCCAATTGTTTTCTTACGGGGCACCACGGTCGTCATATCTCACACAGGATTTATATATGTCGGTTATATACAAAGTTAGCTTTTTAAAATTTATAAGCGTTCTATAAACAATTAAATATCGTTCGATTGCATTTCTTCACACGGTTCATTTGAATGGCAAGTTGCGCTCAAATTCGTCCGGTTTCGTAACGTAGTATAGGCGATATCGTGCAACTTTCGGTACGGTGCCGATTGATCGATATCTACAGGGTGTATAAAAAAAGCAATCCAACTTTGGCATGTTATATCGTGCATTATATATTGCGTTTGTCCATTTACTTTTTTCACACTAATAAAGATCAGGCTTTTAGCTGTGATACCTTTCTTGTATCATTGCGATCTAAAATAGCCAAAGCTGCTTGAATACAGATGCCGCAATGCATGCATAGCATTTTGATGCTTATTTATTCTACTTGCAATTTTGCATCGAAATTGAGTAGTTAATTTTTTAAAACATTTTACAGAACTGGAAGTTTGCAGACTGAACTCGCAATGCGTTTCCCTAATGGGCAACAAGTATTTAGGCAAATGTTCGAAAATTGGAAGAATATTCAAATCCTAAAGTGGAAAAATGCGATTTCAACCGACCACTTTAGCTTAGATCGTATTTAGTCATTTTTATCGCACTGATTCCATAAAGATTAAAGGTGTCAGCTAAAAGCCTGATCTTTATAAATACGAAAACAGAAAATATATAAACGTAATAATTAACACATGATAACCTGCCGAAGTTGCATTACCTCTTTTTAATATACCCCGCTGTATAATGCCCTGTACATATAACTCCGCGAAAAATGTTACGAGCCCGCGCTATTTAGGTACGTACACAATTTTATGATAATTTTCGTTCAAATTAGCTTCCAATAAAATTAAACAGCAGAATGCATATAGTGACGCAACACGCAATTACTTGTCAAGTATTCCTTGATGGCCATACACACGAACAGTATTAATTTTCCTTGTTCAAAAGCTGGCATGACTAACTTTTCAACCAGCTCGATGTCAAGGGAAAATTGTTAATTTCTGATGTAAAAGCTGTTAAAGAAAATCGGGAGCCGTTCACACTATAGCGATTTAGGTCGATCCGAAGTCGGTATAGAGCCGTATCGGGCCAAATCTGGACAACCAAAAACGTACTGAGACCGATTCGAGATCGATCTAAACTAGACCACCTCAAGACATGGTCTCGAATTAATTGGTTCACGATTTACAACCGAGCTCGCTTTAAGAATTAAGATGGCTTTAATTTAGATCGATGTCAAAGTGTGGCCAAAACGAACCATATTATTAAACTGGTCTACATATTTTTAGGTCAGATACGTATCGACTGCTCGTGCTTTATGTATTAATTATAAATTTTGCCATAGGCGGCGGGAGATTGGTTTGGTTAGGGGGGGGGGGGGATAAACAAACTCTAGGGGGTCCGGTAGTATATATACTCTCTGAAATGACATTTCATGCGTTCTGAACTTCTGAGGAAGATTTGACACGTAGAAATCTCGATTTAACCTCCTACAGCAACTGTTTCAAGCCACATAACGAGGAATACAGGAAAGTCGTCACTTTTGCTATAGTGCCTCGTTTTCATGTATGTGACGTCAAGTCCAAAGTCTCATTCACGATAACGAGGATCTGTGACGTACTTTTTGGAAGGGTGTATTGTGAATATTTAGTATTTTTTAAAGTTGGAGGGGGGGGGGACTTTAACTCCACTAGAAGTGATTCACATCAGTTGAACAGTTTCATTTTTCATGTGCACTGCCGCGCTGCACTGGACTATTCCATGCAGATTGCATGCAGACGTTGCGATTTTCCTAGACTGTCAACTGCAAACACGCATTATCATGCGTGCAGCGTGAGTGCCTACCTTTCTGACTGGCTTCGAAAGTTCTCTGATAATTGACTATTTGTATCAAGAATTAATTTTGTATTTCTTATTTCAAAACAGGGTGAATCTGGTCAGCCTGGTCCTAAGGGTGCTCAGGGTCAGAAAGGGCCACAGGTAATTAATACTTCGCTAAATATTGGGGTGCGAAGATAGGGTACCAACATATCATCTCTCTTTATGTTGTTCCTTTAATTGAAACTTATGCGACTTAAAATTAGTGAAAATTTGCCTGAAGAATTTTATAGTCTATCGAGGCTTCCAGTACAGCTTTGTACACAGTTATAAACAATCCTTCAAAGGTTTTTACAAATTATTTAGGGGAGGCCGGGGGGGGGGGGTAGGGCCTAATGTCCTCCACTGGTATAGCTGTTTATGCCTCTAATCACTAATAACGTAATTTATTTTTCACCCTGCTCGGTTTCCTTTGTTTTTATAGAGGAATATATTCAATATTCCCCTCTAATCAATTTCCGTTTAATAATCTCCTCTAATATTCACCTGCAATTAATAATCCCCTCTAATATTCACCTGCAATGTCTTTGCAGCACAAAAAATGAGAAAAAAAATAACATGACGAAGGCAATATGGCATTAAGAATTATTTCTATTCTGACTCATTAACGCTACCTCGCAGTGTGAAAAATAAGTACGTTATTTTGAGGCACCTCGGGGATATGTGTTTATTCACCTCGGCGCTGCGTGCCTCGGTGAATAAATCACATATCCCCTCGTTGCCTCAAAATAACCTATACTTAGCTTTTTTTTTAATATAAAGAAACTTGAGTCAATATAAATAAATATATACATCTCCTGACATTCTTATACTTTAAATTAACAGTGTGCCGGAGAAAGGCATAGTATGTTGACCGAAACGTACTGTTTTTAGCTTTGCAGAAAGTTTAAGTCTCCGGGGCGAAATTTGAGGGGGGGGAGAGGTATGGGCCAAAATACGAATCATCTGGATTGGCAGGGCGAATCATCTGGAATCTGGATTGGCAGGGCAATCATGTAGAATGTAGAGTTATTAAGTAACTTACAGGGCTTTCAGAGGGATTTGCTGCAGGGCCTCATCGGTTTTGGCAGGGCAATTCTGGCAGACACCCCCCGAATTAAAAAGGGGCTAATTTCGCCCCTGGTTAGTCTGAACAAAACACCCTTTACTTATTTAATGCCAAGCTGTACGGAATTCTGAACCGTAATAATGACCCTGCATGCACTTTGAATTCGCGAACCTACTGTACATGTATATATTGCTTTCCGTTTAGGGTCCAAGTGGACAAGCTGGAGTTGCTGGACCACCTGGCACCCAAGTAAGTTCGTTTCCCTTTTCTGTATTGCTGTGCGTACGCTATGTACACAATCAGGGATAACATTTGTCATGGTAAAACGTGGTGATGTAGCCCAAATAGACACCATAGGGCTTTATATAAAATTATGGGTTATCAACCAAAAGCTACGTGTACATCCAGACATATTTACCATTTTTCGTAATGAAATCTGTTGACTGCATAATCAGGCTATCGGCAACTTGTCTGCACACAAATCAAAATGGGAATGGGGGGAGGGGGGGTTACTGTATATATTTTTATCCACTTATAAATTATTCAAACCCTAGAAATTAGAATAACTATGTACGTATTTATAAGCAGAACATGAACATTTGCCACTGTTATCTTCGCCACTAGTCATGATATAACTTTATTTGACAACAAGGTACAAGATTGAAGTTCAAATTTTCTTTAGGGTCCACCTGGTACACTCGGTCTCGCAGGTAGTCAGGGTAAACCTGGGCAAAGTGGTGAAAAGGGAGAAACTGGATCAGTTGGAAGTCAAGGAATCCAAGGCCGAGTTGGTGATCCAGGTCTAAGAGGTTCTAAAGGTTCCAAAGGTGAACATGGTCTTGAAGGTGTGCAAGGTAGTGCTGGACAGAAAGGAGATAGGGTAAGAATGTTTGCCTCGTCTTCATAAAAGCGAATCATGATACCACTTCGTTAGAAGAGTTAGTAGTCAAAATTGCTGCCAACAACCCACGTTACTTTCAAGAATCGAAAAGTCGTACCCCAACAGTTTCTACGCCAGGTGTTTAAATATACATCTGTATACTAAACTAAAGAGTCATCGAAGAACTCCATGTACAAAGCTTTCTTTATATCTATCTTTCTTTTTTCTTTTCAGGGTGCGCTTGGCCTACCTGGACCAACTGGATATCAAGGAAGTCCTGGTAATCCGGTACGTTTATATTTCTTGGAAATAGAAAATGCTCAAATTGTTTGGAATAGGAATTTGTAAAAGTCAAGTGAGATAAACTGAAGAAAAGCTTATTCTCTACCCCACTTTACTCTAAGCCAAACCTTAATTCTTACCCTAATCTTTGCTGTAATTATTACTCTAATCTTTACTCTAATCCTTTCTCCAATACTTTCCCTAAAGCCGGTTTTCCATTAAGCGGAATTTTTGCGCGTGGAGCGGAATTTTTCTTTGTCTTGTGATTTATCGGGTGGAACTAATTAGAAAAGACAAAGAAAAATTCCGCTCCGCGCGTAAAATTTCGCCTAATGGAAAACCAGCTTAATCGAGTCCTATCCTAGTCGGAATCCTAGCTGGACGAGGCTATTTTTACGAGTGACTATATAAGGCAATTTTGCAGTTTTGGTAATATTTGGTCACCTGTTAATTGCCCCCTGAAAAAAGTTGCTCACACTGCTGTACTCTTGTCCTTACCATGACCCTTGATTACTCTAACTTTCATCTAATTAATAGCCCTGATCTTTACCATAATTTTCACCCAACTACTGCACTTTTTACCTTAATCCTTACCCCAGAAGAAAAATCATTCATTTTCTCTGTCTTATATAGGGTACCCCTGGTCCTCCAGGAACTCCTGGCGCACGTGGAGAGAGGGTGAGTTTCATCTGTAGATTTTGCTGAAAATTTAGCCAAACATATGATCGTAAGTTATCGGCCAAACATATGATCGTAAGTTATCGTGTTTTCCTGGTAGAAAAAGTACATGTTGTAGAAAAAATGTTTCTGTGGAAACTTCCTTACAGTTTTTCCTTACACTCTTTCCTTTCAATTAAACTAATTTCAATTACTCTTCAATGGAAAAGGTAATCCGTTAAAATCTTTGTGATCATTTTCTATTTTCAGGGTCGTAATGGCCAAGTTGGACTTACAGGTCCTCTAGGACCAAAAGGAAATGAAGTAAATATCAAATCCTTCAAACATTACGGTGGATGTAGTTTTCATGGGCGTCAATTGCAATTCCTGTATTTACCTTACGAGCATAGTAGAATACTTGTTGTACATACACTTACAAATTTTATTTATATCATTAACAGGGTTTAACCGGACCTCCGGGTTTACAAGGAGATCCTGGTATTACTGGAAAGAGTGTATGTATTATTTAACATATTTTAAAAGAAGATGTGTTAGCAATGCTTGGAAGTATTCACTTACACACAACACTTGGAATATGAACTAAAAGTGACAGGGGCAAAAGAAATAACTCAAAATATGAATTGTTGTATCAAGAGAAACAGAGTTGAATTAATATTGCAATGAATTTTTCGTGTTTAATTTTAATTTTACAAGATGATACTATTCTGAGTATGTTTTTCTTATATTTCTTGAAATTGTTTGCGTAAAGAATTTTAAAATAGTCGCATTAAACTTGTTACAGTAAGTTAAAAATTTGTGACTTGAAAATTTGAATAACACAAGTGTCTCACTATGGACCCAACATTTTGTGGTTGACAGATATCATAAGTGTAAAACCGTCAGCTCAGTACGGACAGACACTAGAATGAGCACAGGAAATTATCTGCATGGGTCGGTTGTATAAAAAGGTAATTTAAAGTTAATTACAGTTAGTGTGAAAGGTAACCAATAAAATTTGCGCATTTTAGAGTTACCTACTATTTAAAGTAGTAAAAACGTTTTATACAACCGGCCCCAGGTTTTCAGGAAGTTTTATCCGTATACTCAGGCTGTGCTCACAGGAAAAAACTTATATTTCCACTTCTGCAATAAGACAAATGATCGATCTTGTGGATATTCATTTCATAAACATAAGTCATATCTCCCGATAACGTTTCTTCATTATGATTCTTCTTAGGGCCCTCCAGGAAGAGCAGGACGCCAGGGTGCAGCTGGTAACACAGGACTAAAAGTAAGTCCGGCTGTGTAAGGTTTGTGTTAGAATTAGCATTTTGAATTAGGATTTGGATTAAGGATTTGGATGAGGTTAGGATCAGATTAAGATTATGATTTGTTTTGGGACATGGATTGGGGTGTGGTTTGGTGATAATTACTGTACACAGTGAAGGGTGTGACTCATTCTACAACATGCTATATACGCATTCTGTATCCATGTTTTGACATAAGTCCTGAACTGTGTAGTCAACACTTTTTGCAGTCCTTTAATCTATGTAATGTTTTATATACTTGTTGGATTTACAATATTGCCTTTACAATATCGCCTTTACCACCCCTCCTTTACATCAATTACGGCTCAAAATCTGAGAAGTCAAGTCACCATAAATAACCAGGGTACTTCTCATACAGAAAATACCCTGGTACAATGCTGCATATACTATATACAAGTATATACTCTGCAAATGTATACGTTTCGCATATACTAACATATTTCACTGTATTCTCTAGGGTGAACCAGGTTTTGAAGGACCTCGAGGACGTGTTGGACCAAACGGACCCAAAGTTAGTGATCGAATAATTTTCCTGAACAAATCGATTCTGTTCCAGATTCTTTTGCTGTTCTTTGGTGGGCAAAAGCGAGCCTTTTTTGCCAGAATTTATAGCAGGAACTGTCTGCTTTGTTATTCTGCCGTTTGACTTTCACTACCGCTACCACTTATGTGATTGGTTAATCGTATATATCAAACGCATCTGGTTGGTTAATCTCTTGATGGTAGCGGTAGCGGAAGTAAAATCTGAACCTTTCTATTGTTTAGAACGGGAGTGCATAGTTTTTGCCCTTGTATTAGAAACTATAAAATTAGCAACTGTTTTCCATGGCATGTCCCATTCAGTAATACAACTCACCTGGAATAGTTTATGTTATCCATTATATCTGACCTGTAACATTGCTTTTTTAGCAGAAAAATCTCGATTATTACATATTTTCAGAATTGAGGCTAGTAGTATACAAAAGGTATACATAGATAGGTTATCTGGTGGATAAGTTCTATAGATGAATGTTATTGTCTTTCTAGGGTGACCAAGGACTTCAAGGACCTAAGGGACCTAATGGTCTTAAAGGAGCAAGGGTAATGCTACTGAAACTATCATGTACATTGATTTCATAAATTCTGAAATTTCAAAATTATTGTAGTTACAGGTATAATGAGAATAAATTGCCTAGTTTTGAAATACAGAGCACGGTTTAATTAAAACATGCTGTAATAATTTAATAGATGAACCGCTATCAAAGCTTTTCCGAAAGAAAATACAACAACGAAATATTAAAAAACCCAGTTCTTAATTGACAGTTCGGTCCATTAATGGTTATCCATTAATAGGGCAACTGATTCACAATATCCCTTTTCAAGGTCGTTTTGTTTTCCATATAATAGACCAGGTCACATACCTATTTACCAACGTCATCAAGCATTTAAACTGTATGTAAGTGAATTGGTGGCAAGTGGCATTAGCAAGCATTAGCCCATTGACCATTCCCCCAATTAACCAAAATTTTGAACTCAACAAGTCTAGACAAAAATTTCATCACAGCTTGGAAGAGCATCACAAAATTAGTAATATTCCAAAGTTTCGTTGCAAAATGTTGTAAAATGCGGATAATATAGCCTTGCGAAGTTTGCAATTTTCAGTCATTTTAGATTACAAACGGGAAATGGTTATCAAAATTTTGGAAAAGTGGTAACCATTTCCCGTTTGTAATCTAAAACGACTGAAAATTGCAAATTTCGCAGGGCTATATTATCCGCATTTTACAACATTTCGCAACGAAACTTTGGAATATTACTAATTTTGTGATGCTCTTTCATGCTATGATGGAATTTTGTCTAGACTTGTTTAGATCAAAATTTTGGTTAATTGGGGAATGGGCCATTAAGCCTGGTTTCCATATGGTCGTAACGGTCGTAAAGATTGAGTCATGATCTTTCTCATCAGCCGAAATACAACATTTTAGAACTGAAAATACGCGGTGTGATTATAACTAGAGAATACTTATAATTTATATGTGGTTCACAGGTACACACTATAATAAACTGGCCGTTGAGAAAGATCGTGACTCTATTTTTACGACCATATGGAAACCAAGCTTTAGGTGTATAAATAATTGGTAATATACAATTACTTTATGGTTTTCGTGTTTGGATGGCCTGATCCAAACACGCGGGAATGTTGCGAGGTTAAGAAAAGCGCGCGAAAACTCGAGCAACATTCCCAAGTGTTTGGATCAGGCCATCCAAACACGGAAACCATAAAGTAATTGTTTTATAATATAACAACTTCCCGTGTTAAAATTTCACTTTAAAAAACTTTCACTTTAAATTTCCGTGTTCGGATGGCCTGACCCAAACACAGGTTTCGACCAATCAGAGCACGCGTTATATACATGTTATTTTATAATTTGAAATTCAAGCTGCGTCCACTTTTACAAACTGATATTCCTTAGGCATGCACATATCGGACTATTACAGTATGATTTAATTCTATTTACAGGGCAGAGATGGGCAAGTGGGTTCCAAGGGTGTGGAAGGTCGACGTGTAAGTATGAACCATTCTTCTCTCACTATTATGGTTGCACTGTTAGTCATTTATCAGCTAATATATAACATTATTTACACTTGCAATTTTTGCTGCGATTTTAGGTGCAATTTTCTTCTTCTGGTGGATGTAAACGAGTGGAAGAATAATGAATGTTGAGATGAGGGGACATATATTCACAACATTCATTCCTCATCTACTCGTTCACATCCATCAGAAGAAGAAAATCGCACTAGAAATCGCAAAAATTACAAGTGTAACCAGGCCTTTAGTAAATATGATCGTCGTTTAATTGGCTCTAAATTTTTGGCGAGCGGGGCTGGGGAGGGGGAAAGTGGCGGCTTAACATCAAAAAAAATTTTCCGGACAACACATTTGTCAATCCCACCCTGTGTTTAACCACCGTTGTTCGTTCCATTTTTCCCTAATGTTTTCGTAAATTTCACCACATTTTAACTATCATTCTTAACTTTTAATTGATGTCACTCAAATATTTTAATTTTTTCTTCCTATCCAAATCCATATTTTGCCGACTACCTGATGACTTGGGGACTGTCCCCCCTCCCACCCCCTTTAGCGCCGTCCCTGATTATGACGATGATGAATAAAAGTTACCATTATTCTCATCGTGCAATAGAACGCTTCATTTTTCTCTGAATGAAAATATTCTTTAATAAGTGAAAATGTTCTTACCATTGCATTCATTATTTGTATACCGTACAGTATTATATGTTACAATATGTCTTAACTAGAGTGCATTTTTTATTTTAGGGACCCCCAGGTGCTCCAGGCCAAAATGGTATTGATGGAAAACCTGGTAGCCAGGTAAGTAACAGGAAAACGTTTTTGCAATTGAATAGCTTTGGTTCAAGAACTAATTGGCCCAGTAATATAAGTGATTCTGTACTACGTAAGTACAAATGATGTGCGTTCAGTATAGCCTGTTTTGGCTAACGGTGAAATCATCATATCAACTCAAAGCTCACCGAATATGAGTGAGGTTATAAAGTTGATATAAACAAATAGGCTAGATTATAGAATACCCGTCCATTTCTGATACTGTTTATTTTTATTTTTTGGGATAGGTGATACGCAGTGAATGAAATGACGTAATTATTCGAGTGTTTGGGTTTTTTAAATAAAGGGACTGGGTAAATATTAAGTTTTAATCATTCAAGGATACGGTGATACGCAGTGAAGGAAATTACGTAATTATTCGAATGTTTCGGTATTTTTAAATAAACGGGGAAACGCAGTCGTTAATCAAATAATTAATCTATATTCTATTCTCAATAATAAAGGGTTATAAATATATTGTATTTCTCGTTCTCAATAAAACCTGCTCAAAATAAATATTACTCATATTATATATATATATATATACGAATTCCTATAGGATCCTATGGGAATCCTATAGGATCCTATAGGAAATTGGACCAAAATCTAATAGGAATTCCTATAGGAGTTCCTTAGATTTACATAGGAATTCCTTAGATTTACATTGGATCATATAGAAATTCTTGCATAATCCTCTAAATCAAACTACCTAAAAGAGTTATTTACCAAGGTGAAGGAAAAAGAGCAAGAAATAGAGAAAAAAAAATTTATTACAGATAAAAATGTGGCAAATATAACAGGCTATATTTACAAATAACATACTAATTTAGGCTATTTATCTTTTTAACTTATGACATTTTTCATTGTTCTCAGTTCAAGAAATGTTTCTTATAATTTGTTACTTTTAGAACATTTTTAGACATACAATTCTATTGTATTATATTACCTATATTATGTATTTAAAAAATAGAAAATTCTGTATGCACGACATAAGTTTTATTTTCTGTCATTCTTATACACGACTATGTTTAGTTCTGATTGCACAGCAATGTGTTGTGGCGAATAGAGTTTCTCACAAAGCCGTATTATTACACTTTCCACTTCACAATCAATATTATGATCTAACAAACCATTTGTTCAAGTCCATTGATTTCTTCATGTACATTTAATACGGCTCCAAGCACAGTGTGCCACCAGAGATCAATCATATTGGAATCTGTAAAAGGAAAACTTTGTTTATTGAAAATATAATCATAATTAGTAAATTATACCCTATAAAAAACTAGAACAATGGACTTGCATCCTAAACTGAGACACTCCTCAGTCAGTTATAAGGGACTATTAACTCTTGATGTAAAAACAGTTTTTAATTAATATTTAACAATTATTGAATGAGGTTGAGCACAATATGAAGAATTATGAAGCCCAAAGTTTGCCGTTATCAACCGAAGCCAAAGGCTGAGGTTGATAACGCCAAACTGAGGGCTTGATAATTCTTCATATTGTGCGAAAACCAAATTCAATAATAGTTTTATTATTTATTTAAAAAATTCAAAACAAACGGAAGCCATTTGTATTTTATTTGTATAAAGAAAAAAACAATTCCTAGTTACTGTCCTTCGGCAGCTGTCGTCGTCGTCATCATATCAATGGCGTCAGCAAGTCAATATGATTCTTAAAATCTTATCGTCATAGTAATATGGCGCAAACACATCCAATTTTTTTTCATATTGACTCTTTGACGTCATTTTGCTATGAATGTGAAAAATCCATATTTGGTTAACCACTGAGTTGATATGACAATTTCACAGTTGGCTGTTAGCCAATCAGATTATCAGAAACCAGAATTTTTTTAAATAAATAATAATAAGACATTTCCTTTATATATAAGATAATTTCCATAGTTTATTGTCATACTCACCATGAATTACAAAGACTATTCATATTGGTACAATGTAATGCAGGGTGTAATATATAGTAGTAGGGTGTAATATCTGGCAGTAATCAAACCTACTGTCCTGCGATTCCGGCCTCAGTTGGGTAGAGCGCTGCTCCGGAAGCACAGGGCCGTAGGTTCAATTCCTGGTCGACGATTTAGTGTTACATTTCTTGCAATCATTCCTGGTTATAGGTCTTAATTCAATAGTGTCTATATATTGGATTATCCACCAAACCCAGTAATTCTAGTCCAACCAAGTGAAGTGCAAATAATATCTTTCAAGTTGTAATATGTATAGTATGTTAAGCAGAGACATGGCCGTGGACAGAGAGTAGGGATATGCTGGATTGGGTTACTAGCATCCGGCAAAATATAGGCCATCCAAAACTATCAATGCCATGCCACAGATATTTATGCTTAATATAGATAGAGAATAATACATGGGTGCTTGGAAATACCAGATTTATTTCGAGTGTTAAACATGATATCTCACGAGTGAGCGCAGCGAACGAGTGAGATATCATGTTCAACACTCGAAATAAATCTGGTATTTCCAAGCACCCATGTATTTTTCTGTTTATTATATAAAGGACAGTCTTTGAAAAGCGATAATTTTTACAGAAAAGCGATAATTGAAAAGCGATAATTTTCACATGTGAGATTATCATGAATAATCTCACATGTGAGATTATCACTTTTATCAGTGTTCGAAATCTCTATAAAGCACTATACTTTATATAATAAAAAGTGATAAAGCACATATTAAATCAACTATTGTTATAAATTTGCTCTCAATACTCTCAGTTAGACAAGCGATGAAACGTTTCGTTAGGTTCTACATATATTTTCACACTATATATGTTTTATACCGGACAAGCTGAGACAAGTGTGGACACACTCACATTTGCATATCAAGTCAATTCATTAATTAACTTTACCTGAGTTCAAACACCACAACAAGCATTAGATTCAAGGCCTAAGATTGGTTCAACGTGGACGTTGTCTTACTGATATTTGTGTTGTATCTTAGGGAATTGCTGGAAATGAAGGTCAAGTTGGACCACCTGGTGTAGCTGGTCAGACTGGACCTCAAGGTCCACCTGGTCCTATTGGACGCAAAGGAGAACAGGTTAGACCAACATAATTATTTGACTAAATTTGGGTAAATTCATGCCCTATACCACAAAAGGATTGGTCTGTTTCATAGTGACAGCATGAATGTATGCTATTTTCCTGTGAGTAAGAAACTGGAATTGGCATGGTTGTGTACCCATTGCAATTATGCCTATTTGAGGTAAATCTAAAGCCCTATGACAATTAGCAGTAAGCCATTCTTATTGATTGATTATCCAATTCATTGACATAATTATGAACTGATTGTTGAAAATATTACTCATTTGGTTTCTCTGTAGGGTGTGGTTGGTGTTCCTGGTGAAGTTGGTCCTGATGGTCCTAAAGGAGAGCAGGTTAGCATTTACCACTGTTTATTTTTTTATATATTTCTTAGGATGTCAGGGTTGCGTACGCTTCTTTTTGGTTTCCCATTTGTGCACGTACTGCACGGAACCACTGATGTGGTTTACCAGAAAATGCAGTAAAATCCCGCGTATAAGAAACGTATGTTTTCCAGATCAGGGTGAATAGCGGGATTTTACGGAACTGTTAAGGGAGTCCATGGACTTGTCCACCTCGGCGAGATCTCACGTGCTAATTGAATTCCATATTAAAATTTGTTTTCGTTTATATGATAAGAGGGCCAGCCCTCCTAGGAAAGACTTCAACCGAGATGATCCGAGATCTCGCTATTGACAACCGGATATCTCGCCTAGTAGGGCTGAAAATCTACTATACAAACCCGCCGTATCCTTGTCAAACTCAGCTTTTTGAAGTTGTTGTTTTTTTTTCAATTCAAATATTTAGCTGTCGAACAATGTTGAATTTTCTGTTGATTATTTTTCGAAAATTTGCTTGGCAAAATAGAATTTTGGAATTCGTAATAAAATAGATGAGTTTTAGGGAAGCCACTATTTAATGTTGTTTGCGGAAGCGAGCCCTATTAACAAGAGGCCTGATTTTTCTTATCTAAACACGAAGTGACAACCAGCCCTACTAGCCCTTTTCATGTAGGGCTCGTGCAAACACTCCCGCTAAACAGATTATAATGTTAGAGTCACGTTGTTTAAAGTTGGTTGGTGTCCATAGTCTAATATTGCATTCATTCTGTCTTCTAGGGTGACCAGGGTGTTTCAGGTCCGCTAGGAAGTCCTGGAAACGATGGCATCAACGTAGGTTTTTTCTTTTGAAATAATAATTAATGAAAATTTCACTCTGCTTGTATTTATATGGTAATTGGAGAAAAACAACATTTTTTATTGAGGTCACGAACTTTCCTGACTAAGCACAAGAAATTATAATAATTAATTTAGTTCATTTGACAACTCAAGCAACAATTGACATCAAAGACCATCGTTGAGATCCCTGATGTTATAGACCATCGTTGAGATCCCTGATACTAACAGACTAAACGTGTATTACATGATGATTGTCAATTTATACTTCCAATGTATAAAAGTTCTCATCTCAAAGCATGCAGACATCCCAACTTCCAAATTCTTTGTTGTTATTTGTATATTTAGACATCTGTACATACATCAACTAAATTCCAGTTATTTATATAGGCTATCGTGCATTAAGATTCAATCAGTTCCAAATTGGTGTTTTATCTTTTATCAGTCATGACATAAGATATTTCCACAATTATCAGTCAAAAACGTAGGCAAATATCAGTTAACCTCATTCAAAAGAACTTGTTCCACTAACAAAGATTCAAGACTTTGTCTTTTTTGAACCTTTGTATTTCCTTGTGTATACAGTATGTCAGTGTATAATGTTATTTATTTATGTATCCAGGGAGCTGATGGAGAACCAGGTCTGCCTGGTGATTCCGGTTCTCAAGGAGCCCAGGTTAGTTCGTATGTTGATATGCATCATCAATAAAAATCCAATTTCTTCAATTCTTCCTAAGAATCCCACAACCGTTGACGGTTTGACCAATGTTATACTGAAACCTCAATTATTCGTTGAATTCAGTTTTATAGCAAAGCTAATTCTTAAACATTTTACGACAAGAAATATATTATATTTTCCACAATGTGGCAGTTTTTTTCTAGAAACCTCAAGTACAAATAAATAAATAAATGTGTTTTTTGCTAATAAGAAGTGATAAAACATACTGTACATATATGAGAATTGTATTTTGGAATAAATACGTATTTCTTTTTTGTTTAATTTCTTCAGGGTGAACGTGGTGAACAAGGTCTTGATGGTCCTACAGGACCACCTGGAAACAAGGTAAGTTGTTCATTCCGTAGAATTTCTAATTGTAGACCGGCCAAACGTTTTCCCAAGGGAGGGTGGGTTAATTGATTGTCCCTTTGTGCTTCGCTACACCCTTAATAGAGACCTTACGATCTTAGGACGGCAACGCAACGACAACGGCCAAAACAAACTTCTTCAAATAAATGGTAGTAAAGATAATTCGTCGTATATTATCAATCATATGAATTTAACACAGTCTTAGAAGTTGAATACATGTGTTTTATGGTTGGGAAGAGTTCTGCTGAACCCAGTTTGAAGTTGCACTAGTTGCGGCTTGAAATGTAGCCGTCGTATCAAGACGTGAAAATATGTGATTTGGCGTTGTAGACAGAGCGAGGACAATGCCTAAATTATTCATATATTGTAATTATTCAATTCTTTTCAATGATTTATTGTATTGGTAGCCGTTGTCGTCACGTTGCCGTCCTAAAATCGTAAGGTCTCTAATGTATCTTCCGTGAATACCGTTGAGTGTTCACAGGAATGACGAAATGAGCTATTTCGAGCACAGAATAAAGATCTTTATTTAGAGTTGGACTATTTGTCAACTGTAGACTTTATATATATACTAGATAAAACATGAGCAGCCGATCTTTATCTGATATATATATACAAACTCGAGCCGAAGGCGAGAGTTTGTATATCAGATAAAGATCGGTTGCGAATCGGATTAAACATTCATTTCTTTTGTATTTTCCTCACGAATTGTTAATGATTTTTTTAAGCTCAGTTACCCTCGTTATATATAATGCTCATTTGAACAACTTGCAACCATTTGTTACACTCAGCACAACTATCAATGATTGCTCGGGCTTTAAGAGAACCTAAATCTGAAATCAACATTATTGACTTATATACGGCATCCGACTATAGATTCATCGACGCGCTCCCCCCTGTATAAAAACAGTAAATAAAACAGCGCTACGCTTTTGTGGTCCGAAAACCACAGGATCCAGTTACTCTTTAATTAATATTTTGAGGTTATTGTCCCTTGTTTTTGTTTTATAACCCGAACAGTGTAAATTTATAAAAAATTGGTCTTTACGTATACCAGGGTGATTATCTGTATATTCCTATATAGGGTTACCAAGGAGCGTATGGTGCGCCTGGCAAGAGAGGAAAGCAGGTGAGCCGTGGATTCTAGTATTGTTCTTATCGAAATAAATAAAATTAGTTCCTTCAATGGTTACATAAAGGACATGAAAGGCGTAGATGTTGTTTTCTTACAAATTGAACAAACTACACTAGATCCAGCTCTTTACTGGGAACAAAAGTTGACAAATTTTAACGGTGGCGATGTTGTAACACCAATGACTCTCCATGCATCCAGAAATTAATTTTGTTGTATTTCAACTTCCCTACATAACATGCTGCTTGCATTCCTCACTTTCATTGTTGTGCCAGTGGCATGGTAAATTAAGAGTTTTCCCAACCATTTGGTAGGTGAGAAAGAAACCTTCAAGTTCCATTTCTACAGCAATTTTTATAATGGTCTCAACCATTTCGTTTAAGATTATAGCTTTTTTAGTCATAACTTCTAAATTCTGTTTGCTATATCCATACAGGTTAATCTTATTGGAATTTTTCAATGAATCAATTGCTTTTAGTTACAGCACTATACATGTATAAGGTTTACGTGTAATAGGGCTTTGAACACACCAAACGTTTTTTTATTGTTATGTTTCAACTTTTTTCTTCTCCAGGGAGGTCCAGGAGAAGTTGGGGAACAAGGTGCACGTGGATATTCGGTAAGAATTTTAAATGTAATAAAAAGTAACTTTTCAGGACTCTAGTACTTTTCTCCAATCTTTGGTTCAAAACTTATCCAAAAATAGTCCAATTGAGTAATGAACTCTTCGGAAGTCAGGTGCGGAGGGGAAAGTGTAACCCCAAAAAGATAGTTCAATCCATTCTCTGTCCAGGGATCGGAATGTTCCATTGTCATTTAACGTCCTGAAAACCCCACTACTCTCCATGGTATAATGGTATTGATTGTTTTCAATGATTTTTAGCATTGTGCAAAGCGCCCATTCATGCACTACTCTTGAAAGCTGAGTATTCACTATTCGCCACTGTTTCTCTTCACATCGCTCTAAATCAGGAAAGAAATTCACCCTTCTATACTTCAACCTACAGTAGCTTCTATTTGTTTGTAGCAGTCACGATCATATCAAGATGGCCGATGATGTAATAGAGCGTCAATATATTTCTCCACTCAGTCAATACTGTTTGGCGCCATAGCACTCATGCAAGCTAGATCCAAACTACTTCAAATAGGTTACCATCACTTGGTTATGACAGCCGAAACCTGGAATAACTACACAATATTTGAATGTACAAATCGTCAAAATCTCCTTACCAGAGTTTCATATATTTTCCTCTACAGGGTCAACCTGGAAGACCTGGTCCAAGCGGTGAATCTGGATCTGATGGATTACCTGTGAGTATTTCACATCAATATTCTGGCCCAAAGCTCTTTGAAGTACATCGGTTTTAGACTTGGTACAAGTCGATTCGCATTGCCAGTTTGGCTGCGCGGTTAAGAAATTGCGACCACTCGTTTTATTCGCGTGGTTACTCTGCACTTTTGTATTATTGAAAAATTGACAGCAAAAAGGACACGGAATATTGAGAAATTATTAGAATACTGTAAGCGTCGATAAATTCAGGAAAGATTCCTTAATGATTCGTAGGTATTTTGTACCGATATCTTTCATATATACATTCTCGATTCTCGAAAAGCGCTTATTCCGATCGATCGTGGGTATTATTAAGTAAATGATCAGTTAAATAAGTGGTGACAATATTTCACTATTTAGGGAAATGAAGGTCCTGCAGGAACTCCTGGTCAAATGGGACGTCGTGGTGAAATGGGTTCTCCTGGCGCACCTGGTCTGCCTGGTGAGAATGGAGAGAAGGGTAGCAAGGTATGGTCGTTACAGAATCATCCCCAGGAGTACAGTATCTGTATTATAAAATTAATGCCCAGCATAATTTATGCACAAACGCCATGCATATAGTCATGAATTGAATATGAAATTATATAATGACTACAGTGAAACACGCAATCTGTGACTAAATTAACAAACTAATACACGAAGTAAATAATTGATGCAAAGTAATGTCTCCAACTATAGAATGACTAGCCAACTAAATATAACGGTACTAACCAGAGATCTCAATGTGTCATATACGATAAGTACTAGACTTGGCCAAGTCCGTCTTTCAAGGGGTTGAAAATAGCGATGCACGCAAACGGTCAAAAAAGGCGCGAAAATATGAGAGAAAAGTAGGGAGAGACGCACTTGGATACCCTGCAAGCGCGCCAAATTTTACCGTCGGATTTTTCCTACGGAGGCGTGGCTTGCCAGTTGAGAACAACAACAATTTTTCGCGCCAATTGTTGCAAATAACATTCGAAATGCTGCGGATGTCCCAAGTCCGTCTCTCCCTAATTTTCTCCAGAGACGGACTTGAACCAAGTCTATGTAAGTACACGTTTTGTTAACTATATCACGTTTCTAATTCTATTGTTACTGTAATGAAGAAATAGATAAGATGTAATAATTACGTGGTAAGGTGTAGTCATGGTTTGTGTTAATGTTTAGGGAGAGAAAGGTAATCTTGGTTTTGATGGCAAGCTTGGACGAGATGGCCGACCTGTAAGTCTAACAAAATATTATATAATAAGCAACATTTCAAAAGATTTTAGCCTGCGTAGCAGCCGGGTTTTTTGGTTTTTTTTTTTGGGGGGGGGGGGACCGGCTGCCACGCAGGCTAAAAAACTTGCGCACGATGAAGTCGTCTCAACATATATAGCCTGCGCAGCAGACGGTATTAGTGAGCGCGAAAAAGTCAGCTAGGCAGGCTACAAGATAAAACCGTACCCTCATTATGGGTGCTTTGAAAATTTCCGAGTTTCCAGACCATACCATTGACTATGGGTATCTTTTCTGGCCTTTCAGGGAGAGTTCACTGACCCTTGTGGTTACCTCGATCAAATGTAGCGGTCAAACAAAATAAAACAATGTATTTTAATTCTGTAGGGAAGAAATGGTAACCCTGGTGCTCAGGGGCCTATTGGTCGTACAGGTCCTAAGGTATGTCAAGTAAAATTCATAATCATATTCCAACTCGTAGTTTAATGCATAAACCATTCTTGCAGGGTGTGAGAGGTGATCAGGGATCTCGCGGTGAAAATGGACAAACTGGCGAACGTGTAAGTTTAAAACATTTTACTGTTGAGGTGTTTGAGGAGTGCCATTTCATAGGTTATCTTCTGTTCAATATCATCCTGATCATTATTATTCCGTGTTTATCCTTAGGGTCCCCAAGGTAATGATGGAATTACAGGAGATCAGGGTGAAACTGGAGCACCGGTACGTCTCTTACTTCAGATTTAATTTAAGAATGTTTTACAATTTATTTATTTTTATTTATTTATTTAATTCGCCTTGTACAATCTCTTGACAATCTCTTGTCCCGTTTACATGAGACTGGGACGATTTCATTTCGGTCGTGGTATTATACTATTCAGGGTTTTCAGTTTTGTGTGAGGCTTTGGCTAATGGCGATGAAGCTATGGCGAAAGGGAAAAGCCTAGACTGACTAGACTATGTAGACTGCACCTGAGTTAAGTTTCACAATCAATTCGTGCACACGGATTATATATTGATGTAAAAGCTCTGGCGAATTTGGGTGGGGCTGAATGAAAAAGTCTGGCGAAATTCGCCGTTCGCCGGCCTAAACTGAAAACCCTGACTATTATTTAACTATTATTTAACTATTATTTACAATATGTTTACCTGATACCCGGACGAAAAATTGCTCAGATCGGTCTGAAGTCATCCGCTCGCTAGATCGAACCAACTATCTTCAGACCAGACTGAATTCGTAGCGGAATGAATGTAAACACAAATCCATTTCAGATCGGTCTCGGCTGTGCTCTCGGCTTCGGAACAATGCATGCTCTCACAAAAGCACTATAAAAAATGGCGGGCAAGGGAAATAAATGAAAGATTTGTGATTTTCGTACCAGTCTCGACGTTATAAAACATGAAAATTTTGGATTGACTTCGGATTGACTTCGGATTGACTTCGGAATGACTTCGGAATGACTTCGTCCCGGTCCATGTAGACGGGGCTTCATTGTTTGCGTCTAGGTTTGCGTCCTTTTACACATCACTTCTGAATGTCATGCACCGGGGTTCACGATTTCGGATGCAACGTTTTCTTATTTACCCTGTTTAAACAAGACGCTCATCAAGACGATGGCCCTGCGGAAAACATGTACAAATTAAGAGCCTACTATGGGGCTTCTGTTTCACTTTGTTTGTTTGTTTTTTTCGACTTTATTTAAAGAGGATAACATTTCACTGTACTATTAATAAATTATAACACCATTGTGCTCAAAGCAAATAATTACAACAATTCTAAATTGCTAACTGTTATACACAAGTGAAAAGGATCGATTATTATGTCTCATAGCGATGATAATTTTTGGGCACCTGAAATGTTTTTTTTTTAAAGTTATAAGATTTAAGACGGTTTTCCACTAAGTGAACTTGTCTGCGCGAAGCGACATTTCTCTTTGTCGACATTGCAGGAAAGTGATGCCGACAAGGGAAAAGTCGCTTCACGCGTACGAACAATATTCGCCTATAAATCATGTCACGTGTTATAAAAGTGTATCACGCTGCACTGCAAAAAACGCCCAACCTGTAACAATGTTGTTGAAAACAGGCCTGAACAATATTTTGCTGCCCATATTGTTCCTGGTTGTTAACAATATTGTTCAGCATTGTTCAGGCTGAACAATGCTGAACAATATTGTTAACAACCAGGAACAATATGGGCAGCAAAATATTGTTCAGGCCTGTTTTTATCAACATTGTTACAGGTTGGGCGTTTTTTGCTGTGTACAATTCTACACGCGTAAAAATTGAGAAAATCAAGAACTTGTTGCAAGTTGATATCGACAGGCGTGAACAAGGTTGTGCGGCCAACTATGAACAGTATTGTCGACATGTTGTTACAGCATTGTTCAACTGTAACAACTTGGAACAACATGGTTGACAACTTGTTCATAGTTGGCCGCACAACATTGTTCACGCCTGTCGATATCAACTTGCAACAACCTGTGCGTTTTTGGCCGTGTATGAGCACTACTAATCTGGTTAGTACTTCATCTTGCACGGATATTTGCAACGATCTCCCTAAGTTCCTAAGGATGGTGGTGCACGGATCCAAAATATCCGTGCAAGATGAAATGGTCACCACTAATCTCCTAAGAAGCCGCATAAGTTTCTCAATTTGCATGTTTGATAGGGATTTTGTTTAACCAGACTCGGTGACAATTTCATTATATAGGGACAACAAGGACCTGACGGCCCCAAGGGTAACCGAGGTACAAAAGGTGGTAAGGTGAGTTATATGTCATATATGTAACAGTGTGAAACTCAGCAACGAAACTTAGCTTCCCCTATGAACCTTAGCAGTGCTTGCGTCACGTAATTTTCAAATAATGGGTCATTGATCCTTTCATGAATGCATTCATGAATGAATGCACACAATGCATTCCAGAAGTCCTTTGCGTGACGTCTATACGTATGTATATTGATTGGATTTACTAATTCACCAACAAGTTCACCATTGCGTTTTGACATAATCAATAGAAATTACAGGGGGGAGGGGGTTAATATAGGATTTCTGATAAATATCTCTTTTCTACAGGGTGAAAAAGGTTTCAAAGGTGTGGCGGGATTGTCGGGAGCTCCTGGTGGACCGGTAAGGGCTCAGTAAAATGACGTTACGGAATACAACACTGAAAATATGTGGGGGCAAGTGTACTTTAGCGGATTCCTGCATCAATAACGTACTCGACGCGTGCATGTGTTGTACCCTAATCAGTTTTTCCCTAGCGGAACTGCACTCTAGCCATAGTATATGTATACTAGTGAAGACTTTCTATAACTATACAAAGGGGACCTGCATTTATAAAATTTAAGTCTCTCTCTCGCTCTGTTTTCAGATACGGAATTTTTAACGGACTGTGAGAAAGTCTAGATACAGTACAACTGAATTGTTGATTGGGAAATTTTTGTGTTTCAGGGTGAACAAGGAGAACGTGGTGATGAAGGTGATAGTGGAGCCAGTGGAAGACCTGTAAGTCCCCAATTATCCCATCCGTTTTAGACACTAGGAACCCTAAGCATGTAGGACACTAGGACGGCAACGTGACGACAGCAAACAAACTCGTTGAACTAAATGATTTTAAAGGAAACCTGTCATCTATTACCCATTCCTATATAATAACGATAGTTTATAGTTTTTGTCGTTACAATTAAGAGTGTATAATTTGAGGCTGTTTCTTGTCACGTTCCAGTACTATATTAAGTCTTGCTTTTTTTAAAATTAATATTTATTTTCAGGAAGCTTTCTCACAAAGTGATTTTCAGAAAGGTCCTGAACTAAATAAACAAATTTACAAGGAAGACATGGATATACTACATGTCTACATAACTATGAAAAATATTAAAAAATTATACGAGGGAAAGTTGAAAGATTGCTAAAAAACTTTCTCTTAAATGTAGAAATACTACTAGAGAGTTTTATCTTTCTGTCCTAGTTGTCCCAGTCTGTTATTGGCTGGTATAAGCGAGTCTTTGCTTTCCCCAATTCCTTGACACTTTAGGTGGCCTTAAATTGTCCTTATATCGCGTATTGAGTTGTGTATTTCTCTGTTCGCTAGAAGTTCAAATCCATGTGAGGTATGATTATTTAGACACTTAAAAACAAATAAGCATCTATGATACAATCTACGTTGTTCAAGAGTGGTCCAGCCTGAAGTGTTTAACGCGTCTGTTGCCGATGAAAAAATGGTCTATCTAAACATAACATCTGCATAGTCAAAGATTGGGAGTACGAGACTGTTATAAAAAATGATTCGTGCATTAAATGGTAGCAGGTGTTTAATCCTACGAAGTAGACCTAGGCGTTGATTGACTTTAGCGGAAATGCGATCTATATGTTCTGACCAGGTGAAGTTGGCTGTGATGGTGACTCCTATTAAGTACTTGAAATTGCTGGCGTTGGAGGCTTCAGTATTGCTGACAGAGACAGATATCGAAGATAGATTACACAACTTCCTATCACTGCCTATAATCATTGATCGAGTTTTATTTAAATTCAGTGTGAGCTTATTCTCCTTCAACCAAATCGTTAACTTAAGTAAATCTTCATTAAAATTTCTTTCAAGATCATTGACATCTCATGAGGCGTAGCAATATAAGACTATGTCGTCGGCACACAAGGAAACATTGCATCTATTGGTAATACTGGGCAGATCGTTTATGTACACGAGAAAGAGAAGTGGGCCCACACTTGTGGAGTAAGATGCTGTGGTCCACTGTATCGAATGCCTTCGACAAATCTATAAATACAGCTCCACAAAGCCTTCCACTCATTAGAATGTTAGGGTTTGTAATCCAAGTGAGAATATATACATTTTAAGACCTAACCAGGAACGACTGAGAAAAATGCAGCACAAGGTCCTCTGGTAGGAATTGAACCTACGGCCCTGCGATTCCGGTGCAGCGCTCTAACCAACTGAGCTACAGAGGCCAGCTGTTGAGCTGTAACCGTAAGTTCATGTATATATAGGTAATCGGGTGTGCGGGCTGTGATAAGGTGGACTTCAATAATTTGTGATAAGGTGGACTTTAATAATTATTGAAGTCCACCTTCCACTCATTCCATGTTGCTCAGAGTTTCATCCTCAAAGTTGGTCAGGTCAGTGATCGTTGAGTGCCTTTGTCGAAATCCAAACTGATTGCTTGTGAGCAAGTTGTTAGTAATTTTGTGGCTATACAATTGCGAGTGAACGGTTCTCTATAAGATCTTACTTAGAGCAGGCAAGACCGAGATAGGACGATAGTTTGTAGGATTGGAACGTTCACCTGATTTAAATAGGGCCGTGACCTTAGCGCATTTCCAAATCTTTGGGAAATGATTGCTCTTGATGGAAAGATTAAGTAATCTTGTAGATTGTACAGACGCACTTGCTGATTGTACAAGACGCACATATTAAGAGTCTTGCGCTTATTTTGTCCAAACCGATAGCTTTGTTGGTCTTTAAAGTCTGGAGTTGTGCAAGAACATAGGATTCTTGTACTTATTCGAGCTCAAACATTGTTTCCGGGACATAAGTGGGACTTGCCGTAAGTGTTTGTGAGACAGTTGTAAACTTTGCAGCTAAGGATTTTCCGACTGAAACGAAATAAGTGTTAAGGGCAGTGGCAATAGATTTGGAGTCTGAGTGTTTTACTCCATCAGTGACAATGTACCGAGGGGTCGAGCTCTTGTTATCGCGTGACGAAACTTCGTTAACCGCCTTCCAAATCCTGCTGGAGTCACCTTTACTTTGTTCAATTAGCTCGCAGTAGTATTTGGAATTTGCCGATTTAACTTCTTTATTAACAAAGTTTCTCAATTGTTTATACATATTCCAATGATAGGTTTTGTTGGACTTTACAGCTTTGCGATGATGGTAGTCGCAATCTTGCATTGCTTCGCTAATCTTACTGTTCATCCATGGTACTTGTGTGCCTTTTACACGACGACGTTTGACAGGTGCATGGGCATCGGCGATATCGCAGAACAATTTATTCCACATGAGTACTGCACTGTCAATATCGTTTTCATTTTCGACAACGTGCATGCCAAGGTACATTATTCATGTACTACACCGGAGTCGACAATACGATGTTGATTATTGGCGAAAACCAAATAAATCAATGACCGAGTGGTGTCAGTTATTCTAGTTGGATCTGTTATAATTTGAGACATATTCACGGAACGTGCAAAGTTCATAAATTTTTGCTTATTCTGTTTGCAGCCATTACATTGATCTATATTGAAATCAACTAATAAAATCAATTCACATTTATCCAGATCTATCTTAGACAAGCAATCATCAAGTTCGCCACATTCATTCCTGCGTTGAAGTCGTCACGCATAAAAAATGTACATGAGTGCAATTGACAAAATATACGACTCATTTATTGGCTTTGACTGCAAGAATTTCAACAGTTTACTGTTGCTACTGATTTTAAGTGACTTGAGATTTCATGCACTCATGATCAACCCAAACAACCAATCCCTGTCAAGAAGCATTCCATTTAATTTGTGCATCGATTTCAGGGATTGCATGGGCCTGGGAAATGAAAATCAGTGGCACAAACTCCTTATAGTGCCCATTTCTTAAGAAAAATACTGAGATCCCCATCAGGGAATTTTCCGATATTTCGTTTCGCGAAGCCTCTTCTGATCAATTTGTCAGTTCGATCTTGAAATTGCATTGTCTGCCGTTCTTGATCTCAAGCTGGAACTGTTGCCCCCATAATTTACGGTTGAATTATGTGCACGTGACATCCATAGTGTCAAAAATGTAACGTCGGTGCTTAATTTAAATTCTCTTTTTTCCCCCAGACCGGATACAATAGGTGTGTTTTGCTCAGATACCAAGCGCTTCCTGAGTTCTCAAACATTTCCTCTGGCCGTAGCCAGCCCCAAACGAGTAGGCCGCCCTAATCGTCCAGCCATCCGCTATTTCATACATTTTAGTTGTTCATTTTACGCCTCTGTGAACGACATGAAGAGCGGCTGCGATGGAGACTATCTTGTCCCTGTCATAAACATATTTTTCTTCTGAGGTATAGCCATGGATAATAAAATACATGGATAGGAAACTAGCTGACGTGACCTAATGTTTTCAATGGGATGATAGCGTTGAAACCTAGTTGCAACCAAATTCTCAAAAAATGGCATGTTTAGCAATAATACAGCTAAACATTTTAGTCAAAGAGCAAATAAATATAACTAGGCCATTTTACGATGAAATCTCTCTGAAAAATGCATCGCAAATTTCGTTGTAAAAAAATACAAAACAAAGGCGAAAAACATTTACCTTGAATACTTTGTCGTGGCTTAGGCATGTTTTTAAAACAATTAGACCAGTTTATGCTTCAATATTACTCTTTTAAAGCGGAAAATATAGGAAACAACAAAAATGCTGAGAACTTTGGCAATACGCGTGACGTCACAGATTGCAACTAGGTTTAGACTGTGACGTCAGGAAGTTTCCTATCCAGTTATTTTACAATCCATGGTATATCTAATTAAACTACAAGTTAACTTTGTCGTCTTTGGCTACCTGAGGCGACGGTTGTACAAAACTCTTAATTACGTTTAACTACTGCCTGTTCACGCTGGAATACGCAATTCTGATTGGTTGGCTTTCGTACTGATCATATATAGTTAAGTTAAAATTATAACCTTATATTAATTAGTTCTTTATACAACCAGCCTCTGCAAAGGAAGTAGATGTACAGATATGTCTTGTTGTATTTTCAGGGCGGCCCAGGTCTTCAAGGAGCTCGAGGACAAACAGGACCAATTGGACCTGTGGTAAGCACGCGCACTTTCTGTTTTTATTACGCACGTGCATTTATATTAAACTAATATTTATAAATTTAAGCCTGCTTTGCTGGGATGGGATAAGAAGCGGGGTAATTTTGAGCTGCGAAATTAAGGGAATATAAGTGACGTTTCATGTGATTGAAGCTAGCATTATTTTCTTGGCATACCAGGTTGTCCCCAAAAACGTTACACTGTCACTGTCTGATTTACGCTCAAACATTATTATTACATTGAGCAAAAACTAACTTAAAACTAATATTCAGTCCAAAAAAAGCTACGCTGTTTTATTGGGTGGAACATAAAAGCTACAACTAGCTTAAATATAAGTGTTAATAAATACCTTTGGTTAAATATTGTGTTCAAACAAACGCAGCATAATTGTTCCAATGGCAAAGATCAATATTTTTCAACTGAAAGTATACTTGTCCTTCAGCAAGAAAAGATCGTCTTGGTCGGAAAACCATGCCATCAAAGGATTTTTGGATAATTTATTGTTTTAAAGTTCTACAAGTGCCTCAAATTGCCCCAGGACGTTCCAAATTTTTCGCTTTAATTAAGTATCCATAAGGGCAAGGGGTAATTCAACTCGTACCTTTGTATTGAAATGTTTTACAATAAAGCAGTTAAAGCACCAGTACGTTATTTAATATAATAATCCATTGCTCGCATGTTTCTGTGCCAAGAAATCTCATTACGTTTATACTATTACGTTTATATTGTGTTGGATAGGACGATAAGATACCCATCATGGGTACCAGAGGTTTTCCACGCTCGCAAAAAAAACTCACGTCACATAACAACGGACTTTTGTCCATGCTCGCCTATATATTTTACAAGCGTGGAACAACCTCAGGCACCAAGCCCAAGGGTAGCGACAGGACCAACCTAAATGATACTATACTGTAATGCTGACTGATTAATAAATAAAACTAATAATAATAACTGAAAACTTTTTGTATTAATCCAAAGATTAAACATGTAAAATGTAGGATGGCTCAATATTGTCTTGAAGACAGATCCTGGATTGTCTATGATCAAATTCACCAGAAATTGCTCGGAAAATAGTGTTCTTGATGTACGTTACAGAAAGTTATCCCGTACATCTGGTACAGTATATATAAGCGAAGCTTTATTTTATGTTCTAGGGACCACCTGGATTACCTGGCATTTCAGGAGATGACGGATTAGATGGAGCTAAGGTAGATCATTAAATATTTACAACCATAATTCTACTAAAACCTGGCCAGGCTCACAAGAAAACATTGTTAGGAAAACTTCCGCGGCCATTCATTTTTGCTAAAGGCCGCCAAATTACAGTGGGAACATGATCAGGCTCGAACATAAAGATCTCAAGCCTCAAGTCCCGTTCAAACCAACCCAATCCGTCGAACAATGTTGGACAAATTTGAGTAGAAAGTTTGAATAAAGTCACACCGTTCCAATATTAGACATGTTGTTCAAACAGACCCAGCAGTGCTCCTTCCAACAATAGACTAATCAAGGACACCGTTCGTCAGTACACATGCAGTTAATAGAAATAATGAGTTAATGAATAAGTCTAAAAAAGGGAGTAAAATACATCAGCGAAGAACTGATAATAATGAAACGATTGATCCAACTCACATTCCAAATGTCTTCGATAAATAGTTTGTCGAATTGGGAGACAAACTATCTAATGATATTACCTCCATCTACTCCCGAAAACTGCTTTGCTGATTTCGCGAATGTTCAGCAAGTACTATGTTGTCTTAAAGAAATATCTGAGATCGAAATTTTAAGATTGTTTTATACTGAGTGACTTTAGACCAACATGTTGGATTTGTTTGAATTGGCCTTTTAAGAAAAAAAAATCGTGGAAAGAGGGAAAAGAAAGAAAAATTTCAGCACAAGCAGACGTCCGAAAATAAATGCAAGCTGAAAATTCCCCATCGGGCCCATCACTTTTCTAATGGTTCGCCCCTAATAGTATGCAGTTGACTGTTTGCATACATAATTTGTAACATTCTGTGCATTAGCCTGAAGATGATTGAGGTATTAAATCGAACATTTACCTTCTTAAATGTGCTTTTATTGATCAAAACACGATTTAAAACACTTAATTTTCGGAATGCTTTCATTTTGATGAGCTGCATAAGTGTCAGCCAAGACGGTTTTCACAAAGTGTGAAAGTGCATCTCACTATAAACAATTGCCAGATAAATTTAATGGATTTATTTATCATTATTTTCGCTCTCCCATAAGTTTAAATACATAATTTGAACGTAGTATGTGGCAACATACACCCACTTATGTTTGCAATATATAAATATTAAATTGTAATCTTTCATGTACTATTTAAAACATGCATGAGCAGCAGTGTTTTATCAGATATAAAGTTACGAGGTGAAGCCAAGTTATAATGATTAGGGTTAGTATAAAAAATTATATTTAAATGGGGGGTGTTAATATGGGAAATTCATTCACTCTAGGGTAACCGTGGTCAACCTGGTTCAGATGGTAAGACTGGACCACCAGGTCCTCCTGGTAGTCTTGGTTTTGATGGTGAACCTGGTCAAAATGGTGAATCTGGTCAAATAGTAAGTTATCACCTTAACTAGTAGCGATAGTTATGAATTTTTTGTACCTCCATGTGTAGTAGGAGTTGTCATAACAAGCGAAATAATCTCTTCTATTTTAGGGTGATCCTGGCTCACCGGGACAAAATGGTGCTAAAGGTGACAAGGGCGCCACAGTTAGTATGAAAATTAAAACTGTCTGTTTTCCGTTTTCACACATTTATTTTCTACGTTATTATGTACGCTACACAACTACACAAGCCAGTTCTACTGCAATATGTAAGTTACTGGATAACTTCCAACACATACTATATAAGCATTTTATTATATAAACATAAGTGTTATATAGAGTTTTTAGCCACTGAGAAAAATCGTATTTAAACACACGTAAAAAATACGATATTTTTACGTGTGAAAATATCTTTTGTTGTAAAACGCATTACCACGGACGTTTTATTGTTTTTCACTGAATTTTGTTTATATAATAAACAGAAAAATACATGGGTGCTTGGAAATACCAGATTTATTTGTCGTGTTGAACATATCTCATTCGTTCCACTCGTGAGATATCATGCCGCGCACCCATGTATTATTCTCTATTTATAATATGCAGAACATCGGATGTGGACCTCATATGTTCAGTATAGCGACAATTTCATTTCACATAAATAATTTTCCTCCAACAAATGAATACTATGCACTCTTAGGTAATACAGTAATACTTAGCCTACCTGTATAGACTGTAGGATATACAGTAACACATGAGCTGCAGTCGTAACCTTTTCTAGTAAATGTGTGCATAAATCTGTTCTTTTTTTCTCTAGGGATTTCCAGGACAACAAGGATCACAAGGGGCAACTGGAAATGCTGGACAGAAGGTACATTTTTGGATACATTTTGTTAGTGATTCATTCATCGTTGGGTTAAATGACATATTCACAGATTAGGTAAATACATCTGTGACATAATCGTATCATTTAATAATCATTCTAAGAATTCAGTGATCCACTTTTGGGATTTAATTTTTCGATCTTAGAATTTAATGATTCATGCTAAGGATTCAATGATTTAAAGTGTCCAACCGAATCTAATATCAGTGATCTGATTTAGTTCCATTCGGAAGATTTGACAGAAATTTCAAAGATTATAAATGTGTTCCCAAGCTCGTGGAGAGGTGTACAAGGACCACATTTTCAGCTCCATCCGCCATCAAATCTGGTCAGATCTGCAATATTTGAGGCTGGAACCAGAACTAGCTCAGTACATGCATGTTGCTTTGTTGACTAAGAATAAATATTCTAAGTAATGGCCCTTTGCATAACATTATGCCATTCAGTAATCGGAATGTTCCATTGTTTTTAAAATTCCACTGACTGTTTTGACATATTTGTGACATCTGGTCTCTCATTGTTTTGGCATATTTGTGACGTCGAACACGTTTTCCCTCGCTACGGCGCAGCAAATCAAAGCGTCTGGAGACGTCAGACGAGGCTGGGTTTTTAAGCAAATGAATTCAAAGTATGGTCGAACTGCATTCACGACCCACCGTTTTGACACTCCGGTGTATTGTCTTCATCAAGGATGTGCAAAAGTCTCAACGCTGTTCCTTATACACCCGAGGATGACGTCAGATGACATGATGATTCAATGCCACGACTCTGGCCATAACGACGATTAGTGCCACTTACATGATTAGAGTAAACCTGGTGCTAGGGTTGGGCGATATTTCGATTTATCGCGATATTTTCAATCACGATTATCGTATCGAAGGCAAAAACTTGAGCGACGATATATCGAAATTATCGTCATGCTCGATGACCATTGTGATATTGCTTCACATGTGTATATATAGCTGTTATAAAATCCTAAAAAAATCTTTCAATTCCCTAGAAAATATTGTTTTTAAAAGAATTAAAACTATTTCCTGAATTAAATACGAATTCAATACGATACAAAAGCTAATATTTATGTATTTATGATCTGCTGAACAATGAAATTGCAGGCTTTGCTTGCGCTGTGTGGCCACAGCATTTGTGTCAGCAGAGACACAGTAGACACTGCATAGACAGTTCTGGTTTATGAACAGTAAATATTAGACTAGACAAATCCTTCATATTTCTTTAATTTGTTGTTTTACTTATTTTTAATAAGATTAAATATAAGCTTACTATGCAATGATATTAATTAAAATTGAAAAATGTGGTCATTATTTTTATTGCATTTATCGCGATATTATCGAATATCGTGATAATTTCCTTGACAATAATCGTGAGATAATTTTTTTAATATCGCCCAACCCTACCTGGTGCCCATGACCGAATAAACTGTAAACATTTGTGACGTTATGCTTAGGGCCTATTACCCTGTATGGTTTGGAGAACCTTGTTTTTGCACAAACCTGGACAAAATCCTAAATTATATCTGCACTGTAAACAAGCTAGAAAATATGTGCCAAATATTGTATAATTTTGAAATAAGTTATTTCGCCTTAAATTTTATGCAATGTATAGCTATAGCCTACCAATGCTTTACTGGTCAAAAATTATTGTTACAGCTTTGTTACACAGTTATTCAACTATCATTCAAGGCATTTATAATTATTTTTTTTGGGGGGGGGGGGACGATTGCCGTTCTCCACAGTGTCCGCCACTGGTTGGATAACTTTCTGTACTTGGCCATGGAAACGTATGTAAAGAGAGTTTGGTTCGAGGGCTAATCGTTTGGCATTATAATGCCCTCTGTCTCGAGTGAATTGGGCCACCATGCACACTGTGTAATCGACATTAAGTAGCTCATCATTCTCATCACATTTCATGCTGTAGGGAGCAACCGGTGAAAGTGGAGACAGTGGGAAAAGTGGAGAAGAAGGGGTGAAGGTACGTAATAGTTTATTGATGTCGTCACGTTTTCTACTATGATACTGAGAGCTACATCCACCGTAGCTGTGCTCCGTGATCAGACGTGAATCATAAGGTGGCTGCCAGAGGCGCCCTTGGTAAACCTTTGACTGGATTAGATTGAGCTACATCCTTCGCAATTCAGCTTAGCTCTCAGCTGCAAGTGGTTGGTACACCCAACTTACTTACTCACCCCACTTACTTGATTGTAGGGTTTTGATGGCCCAAGAGGCGAAAAAGGTGCAAGCGGTGCTGATGGAGACAATGTAAGTTTGTGGTTATAATTTGCTTTCACATTATTACATCGCTACATAGTAATAATCTGTTTACAAAATAATTCATTTAAAACAACCAGAACCTCATCAGACATCATCAGAAGTCATAAGTAATAATTTGCAAGAAAGAACCAACTGCATTGTTCTGTTTTGGTCACATAATTATTAAGACGTGGTGAAATATTTAGATTTGATGAATAGATGGTAAATCCTGTGTTTGGATGAATGCGGTGATCACAGTGTAGTTCCGTCGTGACTATTTTTATTTATCATATACACGGGAGGTGGATAGTGCTTTTTGCGCATTTTGATTGGTGGCTAGCGCTCAGCTCCGGATATCCTAGCACTATTCACCTCTGCTTCTGTAGTATATTTTCATATTATCGACCAATTCTGTAGTCTATGCTTCAGTATTTTCATACACCGTGGAATATTTAAAATGGAGATAGAGATTGTCCCCCTATAGTTGTTTTTGTGCCGGTCACCCTACTTGGTTTAGAAAAATGCATTGCATATTTGTGTATAACCCGAAAGCGTGGTTGGTCAGACAGAATTCAAGGCATGCTCCCCCAGAAAATGTTTGATTTTCTATTTCCTTCATTCTGGGAGTTTAATACAGAATCAGTAATGATAAACAGCGACACAATGACTATAATTTCATGGTCTTCCTGCATTCTGGGAGCAGTTTTAAGAAAAAATAAATCTCGTAAACAGTGACACATGCAATGACTATAAAATTTCATAGTGTGTCTCACAATTGTACTACAAGTGTCCAATCATAAGAATTCAAGTATTCTTCATCAGAAATTCAAGTACTCTTCATCAGAAATTGAATAAATTTCATTCAGGATCTGTTTTCTCCAAACTGTTTTGAATTTTTCACAAAAAATCTTACTGAGTTACGGGTCTGGAATTAACTAACGCAAGGCTGGTTTACACTATCAAAGTTTCTGTGATCACAGAAGGGTTTTGAAGGGTTTGTAAGAAATGTTTTAACAGTGTTTTAACACCGATTCAGTCAATAAACACAAGTATATTGATCACAATACAATTAATAAAACTAAACAGAGATAACACTTGTTTTTGAAGTAGGGATAAGAACCAGTGACTCGGAATAACATGTTATATAAGAACCACTTCAGCCTTTCACCCAAACAAAAGCTAGTGGTTCTTTTGTGCGAGTTTTTCCTGTAGATTATTAATTTAGTATCAAGTTCTTTACCTAAATGACACGTTTATACATGTAGGGTGCAAATGGTGCTGATAGCGACCAAGCTGGTGATCCCGGACCAACAGGAGATCCGGTGAGTAAATACATTGTACACTAAACGCACCATTCATCTAGGGCCGCCCAGAGACATATGGGGCCCGGGGCAAAATATGAATGGTAAAGTCCTGCATTCTGGGAGACTAGTTGACAGTTATATCTATGTATATTTCACTTTACTCTTCATTCAGCTGCCCCTGCATATTTTTTATCTGGGTGCTCCCCCCCCCCCCTATTGGATGCCCCTGCGTATACATCGTCTACCTCATGACTGTAGATTTACTATTCGAGTTTGAAGCCTCGTTTACATGAGACCGAGACGAAGTAAGATAGAAAATTGAATTTGTATGGTAACAGGTAGCATGTGAGCAGGAGGCTAGTTAGTTCAGTGGGCTAGTTGTGACCGCTCAAGTATGCATAGTATACCCACAGGAATAAAGAAATATTAATCAGCTCATCCCAATTGCTTTAATTGTGTTCTGGGAATGTAATCAACATTGAATGGTGGGGGTAAGTGCAGGGCCTATCAGAGAAATTTGGGGCCCGGGGCAAAGTTTTGTTTCGGGGGGCCTGTTTTTCCCGAAAATGTTGGCGAGCGAGGGGGGGGATTTTTTCCGGAGTTTCAAAAAAGGGTATAAAAAAATTTTCGGGTCGAACATTACTTAAACTAACATTAGAAAAAGTTTTTGCCCGACAAATTCCTGTTACAACATGGGTCAAACCCTTTTTTTCAATTCGATCAATAAATGTAAAATTGTGGTTTAGAAAATTTTTTCTCCTACCATTATTTATATCAAAAAAGTTCGAAATTATATTTTTTAATTTTGAAAATGTGGGGCCAAATTGCCCCCAGTGCCCCCCCCCCCCTCTGAAAGGCCCTGGTTAAGTGTGAGGTTTTTCTAAATTTGTGATAATATTACGAAGTTAGTAAAATAAGTGTCGCAGATGTTTTGTCCAGGATTGTAGGACCTTGCTCACCGTACGAGTCAATTATGTAAGCAAAAATAAATAAATTCATTTCTGCTTCTAGGGTCCTAAAGGTAGTGCCGGAGCTCCAGGAAAGGCTGGTCCACCAGGCGGTACAGGCCCTCAAGGTTCACCAGGTCTTGCAGGACAACCTGGTAATCCTGGTAACCAGGTACTGTATATTCAATTCAATTTACTTCAACTCCATTTCAGTAATATAGTATAATAGAGAAAGTTGAAAATTAGTTATAAACTAAGCTCGTGAAGCGCAAAATAAGGGAAATATACATGTCACTTGACGTGGTTCATGATCTAAACTAATTGCCAATATATGAAGCTCGCCATTGGCTTGTGATCCTTCTGAGAGAGTTGTGATTGGTTTAAAGATATTGCGTCACTGAAATGGTATCATCTGTGCATCTGTCTTCGAAAAGATCATGTATAGCTTTTGACTAATGAAAAGGCAGAACGAACTATAATATTATGTAAAAATTATTATGAAAAAATGTAGATACACACAGGTTAACGTGGTAGGAACATTAGTGATCCACACGCCCCGGTGGCTCATGGGCCATTTCTTATTCTTACGCCATGTTATAACGTGATATTGTGTATGTCCAACTGAGCAGACAACGGCAAAATGTTATCTGTTTCTTAACTATGATTACATATCGTCTAGTGTGTGGAAAAATACTGCACAAGAAGTAGATGCTGTTACATAACAAAATAACATACACGTGGATAATAATTATGTTACCGTAAACCTCCGAATATTAGCCCCCTCCCGAATATAAGCCTCCCCCCCCCACCCGTGTATAAGCCCACCACATGTACTAACGCTCACCTCATTCCAAATATAAGCCTCCCCCCGAATTATAAGCCCCTCCCCCCCCCCGAATATAAGTCCACCGAATATAAGCTCAGTAGCCCATTGACATTGTTTTTTTTAATATAGCAGAGAACGATATTTAAAAACATTGTCATTGTCTTTATAGCTTACTATATTAATCAAAGCGCGTTATTAATACATGTTTATTTTCATGTTTATGACTGACTTGTTTATTACTAACACAAAAGATCGTCCATGTACAAGCCCCCCCCCCCTCGTATATAAGCCCCCTCCCCTTGTACAAGCCCATCAAAAATCGCTTACGAAAGAATATAAACCCAGGGCTTATAGTCGGAGGTTTATGGTATGTTAATATGTTTACTACTATTGATTGGTATCAGTATTCCAGTTGTTAGAAAAACTGCTGATCAGGAAGAGATATTCCCCTGTTCGAGTCCACTCTGGGCACTTTCTCTACTCAACTGAAACTTTCTTTCTTCGACTATGTTCGTAACAAGAAAAAAGACACGGCGCATTATTATATCTATGTCCATGTTTTAACTATTACTTGAATAATTATTTTTCCACAGGGTGTATCAGGTTCGAAAGGACAGAAGGGTCAACCTGGCCAGGATGGAGGACCGGTAAGCAATCTATTCCTCGATATATACTGACAATAAAGTTATAAAGTCGTGAGCAAACATGGAACTTTTTAAGGGTAACTAAGTCTCCATGTCAGCAACGTTTTACTGGTAACTAAGTCTCCACGTCAGCAACGCGCCAGCTAGACTTGGATCAAGTCCGTCTCTCTAGAGTTGGAGTCGCGAAGCGACGAGATCGAGCGCGCCGCGAAGCGGCTCGCGAGGTGCACCTCGCGCTCTCCTTCGGACTCTAGAGAGACGAACTTGATCCAAGTCTACGCGCCAGCTAGCGCACGCAAAAGCCACACACTTGTGCGTCTGCGTGATCACACAATAAGGTAGACAGAAGGCCGACTTCTTCGTTTTTCCTATGATTTTCCTATGATTTTCCTATGATTTTGGCGTAACTCGTGATTCGTCATCAAATGCTGACGCCATGGTCCTAGCCAGTGCGCGTTTGAGAGGCATTCACCCCCCCTGATAATATTCAAAATGGTGGACGTCCGGGGGGGGGATGCCTCTCAAACGCGCACTGGCTAGGACCATGGCGTCAGCATTTTGATGATGAATCATGGCGTGGCAGCGGTTACTCGAGTCGACCTTCTGTGTACCTTATTCTGTGGCGTGATAAACTTCATTCATGCGTAAATATTCATCATATCGAATCGATATTTTGCTCGTCAGGTATTGATAAGTTAAAAGTCATAAATGATTCTTATACTCGTTGTGGCAACAATGACGTTCATACTTTTTTTTCAACATGCGACGGTTGATATTGAATATTTCGACTTTTCTTTGGTGAATTTGTATAGGTAATAGTATGGTTTCGAGTGCAATTTGGAAAAAGACTTTGAAAAACTCGAGAAACTCAAAAAGAAAAACTCGAGAGACTCTCAAAGACTTTGAAAAACTCGAGAGTTTTTCAAAGTCTTTGAGAAACTCACGAGTGTATGTCTTTTCAAATTGCACGAGAAACCATACTATTACCTATTAATAATATACATGAAAAAATTATGCAGTCACGTGCGTAAGTCACATTTAGAAATTATGAAATTAAGAAATTTGAAAAATAAAAAATTAAGAAAATTAAAAAAATTAAGAAATTTGCACTATATTTCTTTTTTTTGTACTGTATTTCATTTGTTGGCACTATATTTCGAAAAAATTGCACTGCTCTTAGCCAATCAGAATTGAGAAATTTTTTCATGTGTATTATTAGTTCAGAATACTGTACGTCATTTTGGCTATAGAGCCTCGCTTTCGTGTATGGGACATTAGTTAAAGCCTATTCTGTCAATCAGAGCCTTTTTAAGAATTCGTCCGTGGGGGGAGGGGGGGAGGGCGTCTACAAAAAGGGACCATAGTATACTCAGTGTGGAGAGATGACAGATGGTTGTTGGTAACAAAAAGTTTGGTGTGGTGCTCTATGTAATAGTAGGAAGGCTGGGGGCACTCTCTCCCAGAAAAGTTTTGTATTTTTCCTCTCCTAGGACTGCATTTCGTGCGTTTTCTGAAACAGATTTTTGGGATTTCCAGCGTTACATTATACTGTAGATAGACCGAATCTGCAGTTAAGTACTTGCATGATATGTTTATGTAAATACCACAACTCGGTCACTAACTTGTTTAGCCTAGCCTTCCAACAACTCAAATCTATAGAGTCTGGGATATGCTTTCCACTGGGAAACTTTTAAAATCTAAGGTTTTGGCATTTTTAAAAAGCCATTGAATCATTTTACGATAATAGATATGACATAAAATTCACAAAACAAGGTTCAGTTACTAGAATATCAAACCTCCCTTCTAAATTCCATGTTTTGCTTATATTTTAGAGAAAAGGGACTTTGACTGGGGGGGGGGGATGATTGAGTGGTGCACGAGGGGCCACCATGGGGCTGGGGGCTTCCCCCCCCAGTTATAATTGCTGCCGTAGCGAGCGAGCGTGAAGCGAGCGAGCGAGGCAGCAGTCCTAATGTATATGTATATATATATATAAGGCAGATGAAATCTCGATCGTTTCGGCGTATTTCGGCCTACCACAATGCACTGCTTCCGGGCCGGCAGGCTATTCTTGCCTAATAAACAGGCATAAGGCAAACAAGCAATGTGATCATCTTTCATCTTTGGTTTTCTTTTATCCAAAGCCATAGCTGGCGTATTAAGTACTGATCAAACGGCATTTTGTCGATACGCAGTGATTCGAGCGTTATACGCGGTGGTTTCGCTATTATACGCAGTGGTTCGAGCATTATACGTGGTGCTTTCGTCATTATACGGTCTATACGCGGTGCGTTCGCCATTATACGCAGTGGTTCGAGCATTATACGCGGTGCTTTCGTCATTATACGGGGTGCTTTTAACATAATTTACATATTCTTCCATGTATATAATCTCACGATTGCTTAATAAATCTGGTAGGCCTATGTGGCTGTGCTTTTTGCCTCTGGTCTGCAATGACAATGACATGCTTTTAAAAAGGTTTATTGATAAAAAGGTGACTGCACTTTGTGAGTTCTTATATATTATCACATAGTGTTGATTTATTAGTAATAAATCTGTGTATATAACATAGGTATATAAATTAATATAACGCAGCAAATGCGCGCCAAGCAGTATAAACGCGGCTGAAATACGATATTAAAATCTTGAATGTGCCGTATGATTTAATTATGTTTTAGGATTTAAAGCCTTTAAAAATGCTTTGTCATTTGTATTTGTACTTGTACTAATCACAACGCAGTGCGTAAGTGAACAGATTCCACATGTGAGGTTGTCTTGTATATATTTTTGCCTTCTTTGATAAACATTATTTAAACACGCAAATTTAGTGAGACGCACACTCCGACACTCGCACATGTTAAATGTCACCTGCATGTCATTGTCATTGCCCTTTAACCCCTGGTCCAAATCATATGATTATTGAAGCGGGGCCGTTTTGACTTTGGGCCGTTTTGAGTTTTGACTTTGGGCCGTTTTGACCTAGCACCGTATTTGTGGGCAAATTGTCTATACAATTTTATATACTAGATATCACAGCCATACCTGCTATTTTGATCTTTTCCTCGCGTTAGATAAGTTGATAAGTACACTCATTCTTGTTAGCCATCGTACCTGTTCGGCTGTTCCTCTTTCGATACGAAACTTCGAGCGCCGAGTTATCATACGGCACATTCAAGTGTATAAATTATGGATGATTCCAATTCATTACGAATATTTCTTATTCTTTAAAATATTAAGAGGTAATTTTTTTGCAATGTCACGTATTTGCAATGAAAAGTGTTCAAAACCTAAAATCTTTTTGGCGTTCCTCTCAAATTACTTTGTTTTAGCTTTATTCTCTACAGTTTATCATAGAGTTAGCTACCTTTTTAAATGCGTCTGCCGGTTGAGAAACATAAAATAATAGTTAAAAATTGCCAATTAAAATACAATTATCAATGATGCTTTAAAATTGACGCTATATTGGCTGTAAGCCACGTACTGGACGTCAGACATCATTTTCTCTTTGGCGTATCATCTAAAATCTCTTCATTTTAAGGTGTTTTTTTTACCGATTGAGAAACGTATCGAAAAATAAAAATTTTGATTTTAGTCATAATCTCATGTGGTATATTATACGCATTAGTTTTGAGCGCGTGTTACGTAACATACAAAAAATCTCATTTAAAGATTTGGGAACAATGCTATACCAAGGCAGCATTCACTACCCTGTGGGTAAACTAGTTATATAGTAAAAAGGAACCTGCTGTCAATCGCGAAAGCGAGACTCTATAGCCAAAGTGACATGACTTTCCAGAAGGGTGTATTGTAAACATTTTTGATATTCTAAAACATGTGAATACTCAACAAGGTTATCTACAAGGCAAATTCTTCACTACGGAATTAATTGTTTCTAAAAACTTCCATCTTATAGAATTTTTTCGAAAATTTTTGATATTCTAAAACATGTGAATACTCAACAAGGTTATCTACAAGGCAAATTCTTCACTACGGAATTAATTGTTTCTAAAAACTTCCATCTTATAGAATTTTTTCGAAAATTTAATATGTTGCATGTCAAGCTCGTTATATTTGTTCTATTCACACGTTTTAAAAAATTCACCAAAGCAAACCCCCAAAATTCTCATCTTTCTTCTCGCGAGGTTCACTGGGCAATTGATAAAGTCATACAACGCAATAGACCTTTCCCCTTATGAGTGAAATTTTGATCTAGACAAGCCTGGACAAAAATTTCATCACAGCTTGAAAGAGCATCATCAAAAGTCGTAATATTCCGAAGTTTTGTTGCGAAATGTTGTAAAATGCGGTTAATATAGTCTTGCGAAGTTTGCCGTTTTTCAGCATTTTGCATTGCAAATGGAATTGATAATCAGTTTGATCATCTGATTATCAATTTCCCGTTTGTAATGCAAAATGACTGAAAAACGGCAAACTTCGCAAGGCTATATTATCCGCATTTTACAACACTTCGCAACGAAACTTCGGAATATTACTAATTTTGTGATGCTCTTTCAAGCTGTGATGAAATTTTTGTCCAGACTTGTCTAGATCAAAATTTCACTCAAAAGGGGAAAGGTCTATTAATCATAACGATCACAAAGAATTACTTGCGGATACTAGAACAATAGGGGAGCTATCTTAAATGATTTCAGAATAATACAAATTGCAAAATATGTGGATGCAGCTGCCTGAAAAAAACTTAGACGTTTCAAGCGTCTACTAACTTCCAGACGCCTTCCCTCGAAACGCCGAAGGTCTGTTTGTAACTACCTGCGCCCACCATTCGAGATTCTAGAACAATGTTCGTAGTTTGGTAAGTGCTTCGTATTTTATGTTCTAGGGATCTGTGGGTTCACTTGGTGAGACCGGTATTGATGGCGATGATGGTGCTAAGGGACCTAAAGGCGACATTGGCGCTCCTGGAATACGAGGAAGTCCTGGTGAACCTGTAAGTAATATTTCCAAGATGAGTGGTTGTGTCATACAGTTATACAACACGGATGGGAGTATTGTAAAGAACTTGTGAAATGAATCAACTTGTCTTTCTCACGAAGGCCAAAATCCGCCATTTTTGGGGTACTGTCTGCCCTCGTGAAAGATTCTAGACAATTCAAACAACGTGAAAAGCGACTTTTAAAAGTTGTGACTGTAAATTTGCCATTATACAAACAACTATAATTATACTAAAAAAGTTGTATTTGGTGGTGCGGAGACTCTCAAACGTGGGAGAGGCAGTACCCCAGAAATGGCGGGAAAATCGGCCGTGAGAAAGACTAATTCATACACAAATAATCACATGTACTCTTAAGTTACACTCACTACTGAGTGCTTGTATAAATTAGTTTGCATATCAATTTCAGGGTTCGTAGCGGTCTTTGAAATCCTTGAATATCTTTAAATTTGTATGCAGGTCTTTAAGGTCTTTGAAAAGTCTTTGAATTGTGTGAAAAAGCGAAGAAAGTCTTTAAAAGTCTTTAAATTCTTTAGTGAGGAATTGATTATACGATTTCCTAGCTAATAAAATAGATTGATTGAAGCAAGATTTTCGCAAATATCGACGAAAAGGCGCATTTTAGAATGTGATTTGACTGGACTAATTACTGTGTAAAAATGGTGCTTACACTCGCAAATTTTCGACAGCTGATTGCTCTCAAAGGGCTTTGTAAAGTCTTTGAAAATAGGCAGAAAAAATCTTTGAAAGTCTTTGAGTTTGGTCTTGGAGACTACGAACCCTGAATTTATTCGTTTGTATACACATGTGGAACGCATGAATAAGTCTTCATGAATATGTATTATTACATTAATATATTCTCTTTAGGGTGACTCTGGAAATTCAGGCAATCCAGGTTACAGTGGACCCACAGGAAAAACAGTAAGAAATTTCAATTTTTTTCCCAAGAGCTACCCCATAGAAGTCGTGTTTCATATGGAATGGTTAGAAATAGGGTGTTGGTGGCACAGTGCATGGTTAGTGTCTTTTGCATCTGCGACTGTGCTTCTATTCCTGCAACAAGATTGTAGTTTCGCCTCAGCATGGGGTTGAGAAGATTGCTTCCAATTTTGACTCTATCAACCACGCGGGTATACCCTAGGAATTCCGGTTCCTTCCTGCAGTAAAACTGGCTCAATAAGCGATGAACATCTATCCAATATAAATAGTTTAGTTTATGTTTCTATTTATAGTAACAATAGGTGATAGACTTTACTGGACCTTAAAAGGAGGAACAGCTTAGAACTGTTAGAGCTATCCAGGATAAATAAAGTTAGTTTAGTTATAGTTTAGATTAGTTTAGTTTATGTTTCTTTCTGTAGACGTAGTAACACTGGAGCAATAAGGGATGACCCTTATGGACCTTTATGGGGAACAGATTAGACCTGACAGAGCTATCCGGTATAAATAGAGTTAGTTCAGTTTGGTTTATAGGTTTTGTAGTACTTACTTTCATTTCTAATTTCGTAGGGTGTCTCAGGTCCAACTGGTAAAAGCGGTCCTCCCGGAGCCCCAGGCACTGTGGTAAGGCTACACTATACCAAAGTATTTTACCATTTTTCGTGTTTTTAAACGAGTTCGATCCATGGTTTTGAGTGAAAACATTGACAGGTTAGTTTTTAACCACGAGTTCAGTTTGACTTTGTAGTCTTTGAAAAACTGGACAATGCATGTGTGTTTTTAACGTGCATGCATGACTCCATATTGTTACTTATGAATATACAGTATAGCATAGCGTAACGAAGGACTAGGAGCAGTGCATGTTTCGTATTATATTACTATATAAGCTCTTGACTTCTTGGATGCTCCTTACCATTTGAATATTCAATATTATTTGCATATTATATAATATTATTATAAGATTAAAAATATAAATTCCTAATTACTATGACGAGTACATGCCAAATTTACAACAAAAGCAGTAAGCAAAAGTTCAGAATGTTTTTCAAGAACTTCTTGACAGTGGTTGAGGTGGTTCCATTAGAAAACATGGAGTATGGAGTTTCATAGTATTACAATGAGAGTCTCCTGAAGGAGGTCTAAATTCTATTTTCGGACATTTTTTTACCAAATCCCAGTTTCAACTGTAAACTTAAAAGAGTGTTCCTGAGCAAGTTTTCACCTAATGTTCATGTTGACTTTTAATTAAAACACAATATTTTGCTTTCAATATAGCTATCTTTATAAATAACTTCACAAAGTAAATGGTTTAAAGTCTGTTATAACTTATAACCTGTCATTTTCTATCACATACTTGATTAGCAACATCAGAAAAATTACCTCGAGCCGGAAAAGGGCATCTCAAACTCATTAATAATTCATGATAAATTAGCCAACCATATTGCTTTATTTTGCTCTGGATACACTGGATACCTGGTGAAATATATTGTTACAGTCCTAGCACTGGATCGAAATTAATTCAGTCCTTGGACTGGATCAAAATTAATTCACCTTACTCATGGGCGTACCGGAAGGGAAAAATTAGGGGGGGCGGAAAGAAATTTGCCCGACTTTTCCGGATTGTGCCCGACCAGTACCGGAAAAAATTTTTCCGCAATTTATTTTGGCGACCTCCCCCCCCCGTCGCAAAAAAATTTCGGTTAGTGTACCATATTAGGGGTCAAAAATTTTTTCGGACATACCAAAATTTTTCGGAACATCACACAAATTTTCCAAACATCACAAAATTGACCACAAAATTAACAGAATTTCCAACAAAATTGACAGAATTTGTCCCATTTATTTTTATAATAAACCAAAATTGCCTGACTGTTGATCGAATATTGCCCGACTGCCCAACAAACTGGGGGGGGGCTGCCGCCCCCCCCCCCGCCCGGTACGCCCATGACTTTACTTTACATAGTGATTTATTCGTACGAGATGTCATTCCCAATCCTCCAATTCGGACTGGACTAGATTTCAAGTCCTCGCATTTTGATCCAGTCCCCGGCTTCTCCTCGAGCTTGATCAAATTGCGCGGACTTGAGATCTAGTCCAGTCCTCATAGACGGATTTGAAATATTACATAAGACATTTTTGGAAGATCAATCAAAAGTTGCTCCGTTAGCTTTCCTTGAAGTTATTTCAATTCTGAAATGTCCAACCACAAGTGTCTTTGTAATGGCATATGGGTTTTCCCATTTTTGTGTCTGTCATTCCCAGTCCAAAAATAGGCAAATCCATTCCTATTTTACCCCCTTTAAGACCCTCCGATGAGATCACGAGAGCTTTATAGAGAAAGAGTCGCTAATTATTTCTCGATTGTAACAATAAAGGTAATAGGGGCCGGTTGTATAAAAAAGTGATTAAAGTTAACTATAGTTAAGTGGAAACATCATCCAATAAGAAGCGCGTATTTGAGAGTTAATCACTATTTAACTACAAAATAGTGATTAAAAAGTGATTAAGTGTTTTATACAACCGGCCCCAGGTTAAGATTTGATCGTCGATTTCTATACATAATATCTCCTATCCTTGTTTTCAGAATCTATCTAGTAGCACGGCTTTGTCTTATTGTATTTGCTCTATTTTGGTCTTGCAGTTAGGTTCATTACTTTAAACTTGACTGAAAGAAATGTGTATTTGATATAATTTTGGCCCTACATATGTTCAAATGCAGTATTTCAAGCTTGAGTAATAGGAAATTTGGTAATGTTTAGGGTCCTCAAGGACAACTTGGTCCACCAGGTGGAGATGGTGCTGCAGGAAGAATTGGCATGACTGGTCCTCCCGTAAGTTATTATTTACTGATACTGTAGATCGAGGCTCTTCAACGTTATTTGGGTGCCTGAAATACTTGTACAGCTATATTTGTGAATGCATGGGTTCTCTGGATGTCTAAACTGAGATCTGACACACCACCAACCGTCCTGTTAATAGTTTCTAAGCCAATGCATGCCATTTTGCCGTTCCTATGTAAATACCGCCCCCCCCCGTGTACATAACCCCGTGTACAAGCCCACCATATTCACTAATGCTCAGGCCATTCCGAATATAATCCCCGCAGAATATAAGCTCCTCCGTACATAAGCCCATGGGCAATATGTTGGATAGGTATTTACTAACGAGGCGACTCAGACGAATGACAATAATTACATTACAGTATTAAATATGTTAACCAACCTGTTTTATGTATAGATTATACACTGTATGTTTATATTTCTTTTTGTTCACGTTATAGTTTACAAGCACAATAAATATTATTAACATCAAATGTTCTCCTTATATACGCCCCCCCGTATATAAGCCCTCCCATCATAAACCCATCAAAAATGCTTACGAACGAATATAAGCCCATGTCTATGTCTCTCGTAAGGCTGTTACCAATTCTTTAGTACTTTCTTCGTTACTAGATCACAAATTTCATGTCGTGTTTTGTACAAAATAGGCCCTTTGCATAAAGCCAAAACAATAGCAAGCTACGCAGGCTAATGACTGACGTTGTTATGCAAAGGGCCCCATTCCAGTGTGATTTTTGGGGAGATATAATGTAGGATGTTTTGTATTTACTGTTTTTCTTTTCTGCATAGGGACCACCTGGTGATCGTGGTAAATCTGGTCCTCCTGTAAGTATAAAATTTTACGAACCATTAGGAAAAATTTCAAATATTAATTGATACAAATATTCAATTATTAATACTTAATCCAATGTTTAAGAAATCACTTAAATACGTATTTCGTTTGTAGGGTCCACCTGGAAAACTTCTACGGGTAAGGAATTTTGTCATGATTTTTCATGTACCATTTATCACAGTAGATTTTCATTCCCACCAAAGACAAAGTTAGGTTAAATTGCCGGTTTTCGACTACCAAATTGTGTGGGACGAACTTTAGTTAATAAGAAGTAACATCCTTTCAAAGGCTGGAGAACTTCAAAGAGTTTTCCAACCGAACTCCAAGTAATTTTGAAGGTGCGCAAAGTTATTTTCTTATAGCTTTACAATATTCTTCACACATGGTTGGGCGGTTTACTTTAAAGTGCCCCTGTCACAAAATGAGAGTTTACATCATTAGAATCGTCTTGAAGCGTAGATTATGAAAATACAAAACAGATTTAAAATTGAGCTTGTTTTCACAGAGTAATAAGGCAATGAAGTTTGAAATTTTCAAATTTTAACGGCAAAAGTTTTTGAAAACCGCGGAGCTGGGAAATTGGTAACTAATACGTCATAGTAGGAAGACATTGCCTTCTCGCCTAAGTGAAAAGTATATAAATACTAAGTGAGAATCACGATCAAGCTGGTCAAAATTCGATACAAATGCCTTCGTCGAGTTCAGATACGGAAAATAACAGTTACCAAAGCGATGTCTGATTGAAATTATATTCCTGGGCCGTATCAAATCGAGTGAAATCAATGAAAACACCAGTGAAGCGTAGTCAAGCAGCGCCGATTATTCGTGCGCACGACGTTGGTCCATATGATGTTAATGAACCAGTGCCCGACGAAGATGGTTCAAAAGTTACCGCGAAAAAAAGCAATCACGACGAACGTCTTAAGCAACTACAACAAAGGCTTGATAGTTCAGAAGAATTGAGTAAATGGTAAATATTTCACTCTGATTTTGTTGCGTGACTTGACCTTGTGTTGAATTGTATTCAAATTACAAACTTGGCAATTGTCGCATTGAACTGTTTCGTAAATTATGCTAAAGAGTGTCAAATTGTGTATGGAAATTGAGGAGTGCGTCGATTCTCTACACAGTAACATTGTGATTTGTGATGCAAGAAGCTGAAGTCGCGCCATTATGTATAATTCAACAGCTTATGACTAGATAAGTGAGCCCTCCGTTCAGCACCCACGAATTACGAACAAGAAAGAAACAGGAATACTGTCAAACAAGCACAGAAGATAGGTAATAAAGTTTTCTTTATCAACATATTGAAATTAAGAAACACTTTACTGTACCCGAGTTTACTATCAGTGAACACACGCATGCGGTACGGTAACTGAGAGTTTATATACGGTACATACTGTACAATTATTGAATTATTATATATTTACATGTGTTCACATGCAAGTGAGCGACTTATTATTTATTAATTTATAGATTCTGAAGGAGCACAGCATATAGAAACTTTGTGTGGATGGTTTATGGACAACTAGGAAATAGACATTTTTGCGCATATGAGAAAATAATGCCTGCTGTTGATGAAGACTTTGTAGGATTTGTAGAGGGCAGTTCTTGATATTATATAATTATTTTTCAATAAATAAACCTATTACACTGTATAAGCGTGGTAATATTATACTCGATTGCGTATAGAAACAGCACATTTGCTATATTCATGACTTCAATATTGTTTTGCCAAAGAGAGTGAAATTTGAGATTTAGATTTGTATCTGATGTTTTCGTGCGCGGGGCCCGCGGGGGTTAATTTGTGCAAAGTGTTGCAGCGCGTTCAGATATTTTTCTGACTTGTATTTCGTTTCAGGCACTGCCTTATACTAGCAAATGTGGCAATGACCAAGTTATTTCATTAAGTTGCTTCAATGGATTATACTTTGTAATACATTTTATATACACCCCCACAGTGTATCTGGTTTCATGCCACAAGTTTTTACAAAATTTGCATCAATATTGTACGGGTTTTCACTGCGGTGCAAACACAACGAGTGTATATAGACTATATATGTATAATTTACTGCGTCAAGATTACTTATACAATTCTACTTTACGTGTCTAAACTAAACCAAAATACAAACAGTACACATTGCTTGTAGACGTGAGAAATTGGCCGCTATATTTTGACCATATTCACTCATAGTCCGCATAGCTATATATATTGTCGCGATATTTTATATTTCTGGTGAATGGCTGAATGCATTGGCTGTGGCTCATTTATATTTATCGCACCTTCCAGATTCGTGACTATGACCATATCGGTTGACTGCATCGAAGCAGCTTCTTAATACAACCTATTTAAATAACGAATTTGGAATAAACATTGCACCAGGCCATATTCAAGTGCATGATAAACGAAATTAGAGTATCAATTATACATATACCATTCTCTTGGCTCTCGCAGATAAAGGTTTCTCGTCGACAGTATTTGTATATTTTGGAATTGCAAAGAAACCAATTTCGTCGGTAGCTAACCGTGGTCTTACCAGCAAACTCTATCTTCGCAAAGTATGCTGAACATTGGATCTCAATGTAATAAGAAGTCAACCCGTCTCCTTTTCGCTTCGTGCATCTCGCCTCCAGTATAAGGTATAAAATGAAGTGAAATGCCTTTCTCTGTATCTGTGACATATGAACAACAGCCTACTACACATATATTCAGCAATTTTTCAGTTTCGTGACTTTTATTTGCGCTATTGCCTCCTCTATGATAGTACATGCAATAGTATTTCTATATTAGTGAGCAAGATAAGTTCCTACTATTACGTCACACGCATTGTTTCGTCCCAGTCTCTTTTGCGCGGTTTTCAGATTTTTCACAAGGCCAAATTCAATGTTTAAACGACAATAACTTTTACACTAAAAAAGCAATTTCGATTCTGTTTTCGAATTTCCGTATATTTTGTATCATAGATTTCGAAAATATAATTTCTCATTTTGTGACAGGGACACTTTAAGCCTAAGGTTACTATTACAAACTCCCCTCATTATACGGAAAGTATAAGACCTACATGTATAGTTGAAACGTCGTGCTTATCATGTGTCGAACCTAAGTAACATAAATTCACTGTTTGAGCTCATTTTCATAACTGCATTACAGAGCCTGAAAAATAATAACCAAAATAAGGTTTCCGTTTTTATATCAATTTTTAAAATAAGTTAGGGTTAGGTTAGGGTTTAGGTTTGGGTTAGGTTAGGGATAGTATTAGGGTTAGGGTTTAGTTTTGAGTTAGGATATTTTTTTCCCTTTATAAAAATGGAAACCTTATTTTGAAGTATACTATCTAGCGATCACCCTGAAATAACGTTCAGAAATTGTCCGGAAAACTGCCCGACCGAAATGAAATTTGATTGGAAAATTTTTTCAAATTAGTTGCCTGAAATAAGGCGGATAACACCTCCCTTACAAAAATTCCACATGATTTCACATGTGTGAAATTTCACATGTGAATTTGGAACATGTGATTTTTCACATGTGAAATTTCACATGTGAAATTATGTTTCACATGTTCCAAATTCACATGTGAAACTTCACATGTGAAATTTCACATGTGAAGTTTCACATGTGAAATACATAATTTCCTAATTTCACATGTGAAAAGTCACATGTTCCAAATTCACATGTTCCAAATTCACATGTGAAATTTCACATGTGAAACTTCACATGTGAAACACATAATTTCACATGTATTCACATGTGAAAAGTCACATGTTCCAAATTCACATGTTCCAAATTCACATGTGAAATTTCACATGTGAAACTTCACATGTGAAGCACATAATTTCACATGTGTTCACATGTGAAAAGTCACATGTTCCAAATTCACATGTTCCAAATTCACATGAGAAACTTCACATGTGAAACACATAATTTCACATGTGTTGACATGTGAAACTTCACATGCGAGATATCACATCTTCCAAATACACATGTGAAATATCACATGTTCCAATTTCACATGTGAAATTATGCAAAGCTTCAATCATGCACAGTTAAACCTGTCAAACAGTGAGATACTGCAGTGATGGTATATATACTGTAGGAAGTTTAAATAATTTATACAGTTAATATCTACAAATGTTTAGCTAACATACAAAATAATTTATAATAAAGAAAAAAACTTAGCAGTTCAAATGTCTTTTGCAATTTTTCTTCTTTTCGTATCAGCATTTCTTTTGTCTTTGCACATGGCAGCTTTCACTGATGAGGCTGTTGTTCCCGCAAAACGTTTAGTCACATGAGCTACAAGAAAGGAAATACAAGACTATCATTAGCTGTACATACTGTATTTCATGTACCGGTACTGGAACTCCACAGTCAGTTAACATTACAGTATATAGCACAAGTTCACAGTTCACATGCACAATATGAGCAATTTCCTCCTATCCAACCTATAAACGTTGCACCTTATTACGAATGGGAAGACTTAAATAAATGTAGTTAGTAGCACAACCCAACCTTTGGTTGACGTTGTTTCTAGTATTATCATAATTGATAACCCTTGGTTCATATGGCTTTTACCCTGACTCGTCCCCAGTAATGTATTCTCTGTGTGGCAAATTGGAAACTCCTGCAAGGCTATCTTCTCAACAAGTAAAACTGTAAAATTTCCTGCCATTAGTCAGAGTAGTATAAAGTAGAGCATATTGCCAGTGAATGGGTTAACAAGAAGGAAATTGGAAGTTAACCCCCTATCCCCTTCAAAATTCGAATGTCCTTATACACTTCAGAAACAATTTTTTCTCCCCTCGCCTCCCCTTCCGACGGTTGAAATTTCCTCTGTGCCCAGGGGAGAGTGGATCTTTTCTGGAACGACCCATCAGACACAGTAAAAGAATAAAGTTATGGCACAATGCAGCTTATGCCATGTCCAGCCTAGTATAATATCCAGTTAACTCCCCATCTTAATGACCTGCCAAACTTCTTGAGAAGTACAGGGTATTCCTGTTTTGTTGGGTTAATATGGCCATCAAGTGAACCCATTAAGTTGTATTGTACCCTTGTGTGTCCTACTCCTTATTTTACTGTCTTTTAAATGCCAGATTATTGTACTCTGTCTAATGCCAGACTATTTTTGAGCTCGCTGAAATCCTTCATTAACAATAAATTTTATATTTCTGGTTTAGTACGTAAGAGTGCTGTAAGCCTGTAAATATAGCCTGGCAAAGTGTTTAAGGACCTGTAGATATACTGTAGCCAGTAATGATTTTTCTGTGTTGGTGTATTGTACTCAGGAATATGATGCTTGTGATGTTACGCTGAGTATATATCCACACCGGGCAAGCGTAATTAAAAAATATGCCTGACCATGGTGGGAATCGAACCTATGACCTTTGGAATACTAGCCCAATGCTCTGCCAACTGATATTTCGGAACAGAATCTAATTCCTCCAATATCAATGTAATGTAATAATTAGTAATGATTTTTCTAGTTCCTTTGATTACATTGATATCGAAGGAACTAGATTCTGTTCCGAAATATCACATATTCGAACCGATCTGACCGCTTAGCTCAGTTGGCAGAGTATTGCCAGGCTAGTATTCCAAAGGTTGTAGGTTCGATTCCCACCGTGGTCAGGCATATTTTTCAAGCTTGCCCGGTGTGGATATGCACTCAGAGTAACATCATAAGCATCATAATGTAGCCACATTGTAATTATTATGATCCCACCGACATGACCCAGCTTGCAATATGAACTCTATCAACTGTTTAGTGAATTATTCTACTTCTATCTGGCCTAGACAGGATCCCACCTGCCAGGACAAGAAACTCTCATGAATATAAGCACTCTATCATCCCTGCCAGGTGGGGTGTAGTGTATTGTGTCTATATTAAACACACCATCCTGGATTATAACCTACTGTCCATTCGTGCCATTATCATATAAAAAGGCACATATATACAGGGTATACTCTAGAAGGGTTTAGCTTGGAAGATCCTTCAAGCTCAAGCTAGTAAAAGTTTATACTTTTTACCATATTGTGGGAAACACTAACCATTTAGTC